CCAATTAGGGGGAGGAGGATAGTAATTTGGGGGTGGGCGTAAGGTCCCCAGGCTGGGGTGTGCGCCCTAGGTTGGCCCTCACTAGCGTCAAAGGGTTAACAGCCCCTGCCTAGAAGCCTCATTAACCTGGGTGGATCTGGGGAACACCAGACTGTCCACCCCCTGGGTAGGGTTAGGAGCAGTGAAGGCCCCTTCCCCATATCTATACTGTAGTAGTGGTTCTGTTCAGGGAGCCCTTCCCAAATGCAGAAGACTCCTGGCACAGGCTGATCCACCTGAGGCCTGCCTACTGTCACCACCAGCTCTCGGGATGATGTTTCCTGGGTCTCATGTCTGCCTCTTACCCCTGCACCCACTATCTCTCTGTTCAGCCAGCTACCCATTTCTGTCCACCTATGTAATCCTCTTTCACCGCCCTCTCTCCCTCCAAACCAATTCGTTCACTTGCATATCATGCCAAGCTTCTGACCGGCTTCCCCACCCACTCACCACCTTTCTGTCCACTGACCATGGAGCTGGGCTGATGCCCTGCCCTCAGCTAATATGCGGCTGGATAGGGTAGGTGTGGTCCCTGCCGCAGGCTCTACCAGGTGGCTTTCCCACTGTCCATCAGAGCAGATGGACCCAGAGAGACTGCATCCTTGGCCTGTACAGTGTCACCACCCTGTGACTGTCGTACAGACGGAGTCTGGACACGAGAGGAGCTCAACGGAGGTCATTGTGGGTTGGGACAGGCTGGGCCGGCTTCCTGGAGGGGGCCAGATGCTGTGCTCTGGCGGGAACTTAACAGCTGACAGAGACCCTGCTGCATTCTCCAGGCAGGCCAGAGGTCAGCAGGATGAATTGTCTGACTTTCTTTGAGAGAAGGAACTTTGGAGTTCTAGGGAAAGGGGCCCTACCAGGACAGATTAGGTGAAGCCAAACTGTAGCCATGGCAGAGCCATGGGCAAAGCATTAGCCCCAAAGGCCACCTGGCCTCCCTGCTCTGGGCCTGATGTCAGTCTCAGGGTTGTGGTCAGAGACCCCTGGCAGAAGGCAGAAGAAAAGCCAACACTTTGCTGTCTGTCATAGTCAGGCTGTCTCTGTCCCTGTCCACAGGCATGCCCAGGGGCCAATACCACACTATGCAGGCTGGCTTCAGCTCCCGATCCCAGGGCCTGAGTGGGGACAAGACCTCGGTGAGTCAGGAAATCAACTCTGAGTTCACACTGAGGGGGATACTCCATAGGGGAGGCTGGGAACTCTGGATCAGAAGGGGAGGGCACCAGGTATACCCCAGATATGCCTTCACTGTGCCCTCCCCTCCTGTAGACCTTCCGGCCCATCGCCAAGCCGGCCTACAGCCCAGCCTCCTGGTCCTCCCGCTCAGCCGTGGACCTAAGCTGCAGTCGGAGGCTGAGCTCTGCTCACAATGGGGGCAGTGCCTTTGGGGCTGTGGGATATGGGGTTGCCCAGCCCACTCCACCTATGCCCACCCGGCCAGTGTCCTTCCATGAACGAGGTGGGGCAGCCAGCAGAGCCGACTATGACACGTTGTCCCTACGCTCACTGAGGCTGGGGCCTGGGGGCCTGGACGACCGCTACAGCGTGGTATCTGAGCAACTGGAACCTGCAGCTGCCTCCACCTACAGGGCCTATGCTTATGAGCGCCAGGCCAGCTCTGGCTCTAGCCGGGCAGGAGGCCTGGACTGGTCAGAGGCCACTGAGGGTCCACCCAGCCGGACCATCCGTGCACCCGCCATGCGAACTCTGCAGAGATTTCAGAGCAGCCACCGAAGCCGTGTGGGTACTGGGTCAGTGTCAGGTACTGGCCTGGAACCCGTGGCCCGAGCCCCATCTGTGCGCAGTCTCAGTCTTAGCCTGGCTGACTCAGGCCACCTGCCAGATGTACGTGGACTGGACAGCTACACAGGCCATCGCACGCTACAGAGGCTCAGCAGTGGGTGAGGAGCTGGGCTTGAAGTAGGGAGGGGACCGTACCACAGAGTCGGGCCCTGTCCTCAGGTCTGCCTGACCACTGACTGGCTCCTGGTTCTACAGCTTTGACGACATTGACCTGCCCTCAGCAGTCAAGTACCTCATGGCTTCGGACCCCAACCTGCAGGTGCTGGGAGCGGCTTACATCCAGCACAGGTGCTACAGTGATGCAGCAGCCAAGAAGCAGGTGACATATCCCACTGACTGTCCCCTATTATCTCTTGATGAATGCCCCACTGGCCCTGGATGCCCTTAATGACTATTCTTACCAGCCCCGAACCCTCCCTAACCTCTGGTCCTTGGCCGTCCTTGCTGATCACTGGGCTGTTTGGGCAAAACTCTCCATATCCTCAGTAGAGGATGGGCAGTCATGTCCTGTTTTTATATACCTACATCATCTATGTGCACCTACATACATATACATATACGTGTGGCATATATATACATATATACATATATATATATATATACATCATCGCCATATACTTAGGATTACCTCCATATACGCACAGTCCTGCATACACCTATAGCATGCATAGTCACCATTTCCATGCACTTGCACCCCAAAATACATTTTCACGTTATGTGCAAACTTGCATATATCACCTGTACCATCTGGATGACCAACACACCTACGCACTTGTTTCCATGCATGTGGACATGCCTGCATGCATTTTCAGTCTGCATATGCCCGCATACATCTGTATATATGTGCCACAGGCTCGCAGCCTTCAGGCGGTGCCTAGACTGGTGAAGCTCTTTAACCACGCCAACCAAGAGGTGCAACGCCATGCCACGGGTGCCATGCGCAACCTCATTTATGACAATGCAGACAACAAGCTGGCGCTGGTAGAAGAGAACGGCATTTTTGAGCTGCTGCGGACACTTCGAGAGCAGGATGATGAACTACGCAAGAATGTTACAGGTACCCTGGTCCTCCAGCCTCTTCATTTCTTCCCCATCCTCCGCCCTCTCTCCTGTCTGGTCCCCGCTGCTCCTCTCTTTCCCTTCTTATTCTCAACAGCCTGTCTTTATCTTATGCCTTCCCTTTCCCATACTGATTTTTTTGGGGGGCTGTTGTTTGAGTTTTTTGTTGCTTCTCTTATTTCTTAGCACTTTGTGTATCTGCATGCATGCCACAAGCATATATAGAGGCCAGAGAACAACTTTGGTGGTCAGTTCTCTCCTTCAACCATGGCTTCTGGGAAACCAAGCTCAAGTAATTGGGCTTGATCAGAAAGCTCCTTTACCTCCTGAGCCACTCTGCCAGCCCATTTACTTATTTATTGAGACAGGAACTCACTATGTAGCTCACTACATAGTAGGTTTGATGTAGACTAGGCTAGTCTCAAGTTCATAGAGATATGCCTGCCTCTGCCTCCTGGGTGCTAGCTTTAAAGGTAATGTGCCATTATGACTTGTTTATTTTACTATTTTTTTAATGATTCATTTATTTTTTGTGTATATGAAGTTCTTGCCTGCATGTATGTATGTTCATTTACCATATGGACCATTTACCTGGTGTCAGAAGAAGGCACTGGATTCCCTGAAACTAGAGTCAGTTATTAAAAGCCATGTGGGTAGTGGGAAACACATCTGTGTCCTCTACAAGAGCAGCAAATGTTCTTATCCACTAAGCCATTTCTCCGTCCCCTGACATACATGTGTTCGATTTATTTACTTACTTTATTTTATGTGTATACATGTTTTGTTTGCATGAATGTCTGTATGCCACATGTATGCCCAGTGCCCGTGGAGATCAGAAGAGAGCATCAGATCACCTGGAACTAGAGTTACAGATGGTTGTGAGCCACCATGTAGGTGCTGGGAGATGAACAGGTCCTCTGAAAGAGCAGCCTGTGCTCGTAACCACTGAGCCATGTCTCCAGCCCACCCCACCCCGTTTGTATTGTCCCACTCTGCACACCAAACAGGCTTCCATCTCACTATGTATAAGACGCTGGCCATAAGCTCATGGCAATCCTTCTACCTAGACCTTGGTGGTGGTGGTGGTGGTTGTTGTTGTGTGTATTGTCTGTTTTCGAGACAGGGTCTCACTATGTAGTTCTGACTGACTTCGAACTCATTATGTGGACTAGGTTGCCCTGTGTTTCCCAAGTACTGTGATTAAAGGCATGTACCACTGTCCCTGGCTATTGTTTATGGGAGAGGGTCTCTATGTAGCCCCAGGATAGCCTCAACTCGTGGCAATTTTTTTACTTTAACTTCCTAAATTCTGGGATTACAAGTGTCACACCTATAGTGTCAAACTCTATTTTTGTGGCTTTTGTCCTTATTTTCTGTGGTGCTAGGTGTGGCACTCAGGCTTCATGCATACAAGCAGGGCATTCAAGGGCTCTACCACCGAACAACATCATATAGCCCAGGCTCTCTCCAGTCACTTCCACCCCCAGGCCTTCAAATCCCCACACCTTGTTTGTCTCTCTTGCTCTGCTCCTGCTCCCTGCTCCCAAGGGTCTCCCTGACGACCTCTCCAGCAGATCCCTAGAGTAAGGCCAAGAAAGTGTGGGGCCAAGAGCTGAAGTGATGGCTCACTGAATAGGTGTTTGCTGCTCTTCCAAGGGACCCACGTTCTGTTCCCAGCACCCACATCAAGCAGCACATCACTGCATGTAACTCCAGCTCCAGGCGATCTGACACCCACATCTGTATTCCACGGGTACCTGTACTCATGTGCTTATGATACACCCATGCATGGGCACACAAGGAATTTAAAAAATAAATGAATCTGTTTTTAAAAAGAAGCAGATGTGGAGAGCCTCCTCTGCACCATCCCCAGAGGAAGCAGAAGGCCCAGGGAGCCCGTCCTAACCACGGCCTTGGCCTCCTCTTGTGCAGGGATCCTGTGGAATCTGTCCTCCAGTGACCACCTGAAGGATCGCCTAGCCCGAGATACACTGGAGCAGCTCACAGACCTGGTGCTAAGCCCCCTGTCAGGGGCAGGTGGGCCCCCCCTCATCCAGCAGAATGCCTCTGAGGCAGAGATCTTCTACAATGCTACTGGCTTCCTCAGGTGTGCTAAGTGGAGGCGCTGGGCCAGGAGATGCTGAGGGGAAAGAGCCAGGAACCAGAGAAGCATCAGGGAAGCTTCTAGAAGAAGTATGTTCTTTTGACGCCTAAATGACAAGGACAGTTAGACAAGCCTTCAGGGAAAAGTAAACAGCAGGGAAAAGTTTAGGGGCTGAGGGAAGAGTTTGATAGGCCGGGTGTAGCTACCAGGTATAGATGTCAGAACACCCTGAAGCTTTATGATTCATTAAATCAAGTCCCTTGTCCTGATATCCATCTTCCTAAACTTTGCGGAGTTGACTGGGAGATGGGTAACGTGAAGGGCAGGGCCAGAAGTATCTGGTAGGGTCTGGGAACAGGAGGTCACAAGGGCTAGTCCCAACTCAGTATACAAAGATCAGTGCCTTATAGTTCATCTCCAGGACAGGGGCTTCAAGTTAAGGGTCTCTGAGGTGGCACTTCTAGGGTCCCTGGGGGGACTGTGTGGGTATCCCTGGGGGAGCTCTGATCTGCCTCCATCCCCAGGAACCTCAGCTCAGCCTCCCAGGCCACTCGCCAGAAGATGCGTGAGTGTCATGGGCTAGTGGATGCTCTGGTCACCTACATCAACCATGCCCTGGACGTGGGCAAGTGTGAGGACAAGGTGAGGGGCAGCTGGTAAGCCAAGGGGGTCCAGGGGCTTCGGCCCACTCTGACCACCCTCTGTTCCCTGCAGAGTGTGGAGAATGCGGTATGTGTGCTGAGGAACTTGTCCTACCGCCTCTATGATGAGATGCCACCCTCAGCACTACAGCGGCTTGAAGGCCGGGGCCGCAGAGACATGACTGGGGCACCACCTGGTGAAGTGGTGGGCTGCTTTACACCACAGAGTAGGAGGCTGCGTGAGGTGAGCACAGACCTGGGAGACCAGGAACAGGAGGTGCTGGTCTGATACCCTGACCTCAGCTGCACCCTTGGCCCTGGTTGACCCCTGTATCCTCCCACTCAGCTTCCTCTTACAGCTGATGCACTCACCTTTGCGGAAGTATCTAAGGATCCCAAGGGCCTGGAGTGGCTGTGGAGTCCCCAGATTGTGGGGCTATACAACCGACTGCTGCAGCGCTGTGAACTAAACCGGCATACAACAGAGGCGGCTGCAGGGGCGCTGCAGAATATCACCGCGGGTGACCGCAGGGTCAGTGAGCTGAGAAGCCCCACTCCTGGTCTTGTGCTGCTCACTAGGGTGCATGGATGGGAACCACGCCCTAGCAGTTCATGTTCTGTTGGGGGAAAGATCCCTAAGAGTAAGATATGAGACTCATGCTCAGCCTGAGGAATGGGGCCCTGGATCTGGGTTCTGATATTCTGAGCAGAAAGGTTACCTGGTTGTGTCCTGAGCTGGCAGAATAAGCAGGGGTAGCAGACAAGAAGTGAAGACGTGGTTCTGCCTCAGTCCTGAACAAGGCTGGCTAGGGCTGGCTGAGGTGCTGCTGGGCGTCACCACACTCCCTGTCTTTCCCTGCAGTGGGCGGGTGTGCTGAGCCGCCTGGCCCTGGAACAGGAGCGCATCCTGAACCCCTTGCTGGACCGAGTTCGCACCGCTGACCACAACCAACTGCGCTCATTGACTGGCCTCATCCGGAACCTGTCTCGGAACGCCAGGAACAAGGACGAGATGTGTGAGTTGTTCTGTCCCTGGTCCGGCACACAGCCCGTATCTCCCAAGGAGCTGGCTTCTGGCTAGCAAGTCAGATAGAGTGGGAGGTGTATGTGCCAGCCCCCTGGATCAGCAAGTATTCTGGGTGCCAAGGCGGCAGGGAACATGTCAGACTGACCCTGACCTCTTTCATCAGCCACGAAGGTAGTGAGCCACCTGATAGAGAAGCTCCCTGGCAGTGTGGGTGAGAAGTGTCCCCCAGCGGAGGTGCTGGTCAACATCATAGCTGTGCTCAACAACCTCGTGGTAGCCAGTCCCATTGCTGCCCGGGACCTGCTCTACTTTGACGGGCTTCGAAAGCTGGTCTTCATCAAAAAAAAGAGGGATAGGTGAGGAACAACCCAACCCATGCACCATGGCCAAGGTACACCCTACCACCCGACCTCCTAGCCTTGACCCTAACCTTCTTGAATGTCCCCAGCCCTGACAGTGAGAAGTCCTCCCGGGCAGCCTCCAGTCTCTTGGCCAACCTCTGGCAGTACAGCAAGCTCCACCGTGATTTCAGGGCGGTATGTTTTACAGAGCCTGGGAACAGGGTCTCGGGGCATGGAGTCCAGTGCAAGATGCAGGTGACCAAGGGAGGGACACAAGCCTGGAACACAGAGACAAGGGGCCCAGGCTATGCCCAGAACGTTATGGGCAAGGCAGGATTTCAGGGAGAGCAAAGGCAGTCCTGATCTCCCTGTCCCCTCTCCCCTGCAGAAAGGCTATCGGAAGGAGGACTTTCTGGGCCCTTAAGTGAAGCCTCCTGGAGGTGAAGTGATTCAGCTTCCAAGAGATAGGCTTAGTTCCTGCTGTTCCACAGCCTATGGAAGAGGAGCTGATGGCCACAGGACCACTCTATCTCTGGAGTCCTGTGTGTGCCCTTGAGGGGCCAGGGCCACCAGGAAAGGATGGGGGCTTGCAACTGGGGATTGATTGGCTTCTGCAGGGCAGGGGAAGGGGGCAGGGCTTGAGCTGCTCTGGTGCTAGGGTAGTGATTTAGTCACAATGGCAGGGGTGAGGCTGCTTGTGGCCTGACAGCCTTGTGACAGCAACACTGGGAATAAAGTGGTTTTGAACATAGCCCCAGCTCCATGTGTTTCCATGACTGGCCACAGATTCTCAAGTTTGCATTGTCCCCAAACATGCCTACCTGTCCCAGAAGACACAACTCCAAGCTCACACACAAGCCTCCCAAGGCAGAAGACACGGGATAGGGAAGGAGTAGACAGTAGGGATAGCCAGCGTTACTGCTATCCGAGGCATAGACACAGCAGTAGTCATACCATAAACACATCCAACAGCCCCTAGGAAGTACCCAGGCTAGAGGATCGGACTGGCTACCCAAGGCTTGAAGTCCAGGACTATCAGGAACAGGGCTATCCATTTTTCCTTGTAAAATTATCAATGGTAGCTTCCTACTGATGGATATGTCTGGATGAGAAGGGGCTAGGGACAGTCACACTCCCAACCAAGAACCAAGAAGGGATACTAGGGGCTATCAGAGCAAGGGATACACCAGGGTGGCTGAGGATGGAAGGCAGATTTGAGTGGACAGCAGCATGGGAAACCTGGTGCTGGAGACAACGAAAAGAAAGGCCAGGGCCTCGCCATGGAAGCCACAGGAGTCCTAGCAGTTACCACCCGGAAGAGAAACAGGCCCAGGTGGGAGCAAAGTGGATTTTATTTTGTGAGACCCTGGAGCCACACTCCTTCCTGAGGGATCCGGGGCTACAGGCAAGGGTGACAGTCCTAGGGAGAAGGGGTGCCTGCCTCTACCCTGGAAATTGCTGCCATGACCCCACGATCTGGACTGCTGGGGTAAGGGCTACACATCATCCTCAGACACGAGACAGTAGAAGTCTGTGCGTGCACTGTAGTTTCGAGAGCCAAGGTCAGAGACGTCCATTTCACTGCCGGGGCCTTCTCCGGAGATCCTGCTTGCATGCAGTGAGGTTGGTGGCTCCCCAAAGACAGGTCCACGGACACCTGCAGGACACACAAGGCCTGAGGCTGCATGTCTACAGCCGTGTCTACATTGCTCTTCTAGAATCTGTGATCAGAAGGGGTTACTCCATGTTTATCCAGCAGACACAATGACACTAGAAACCCTTAAAGTTCCCCGACAGAGGCCAAGGGACAAAACACCTCTCCAGTAATAGGCAATTAGGGGCGCTGCCAGTGGAGGTCAGGCAGGCTCTCTCCATGCCTGACTAAGACCTGGAGCTTTATCTGACCCCCTGGATCTGCACTGACGCCGCCAGATGAGCATACCCAGATCTCCTTCAGGGTCTGGATCCAGCTCTGTCTCCATGGCGCGGCCCTGGGCAGTTCTTCCTCTCACGATTAGCATAGGATCTTTGTCATCTTGTAGTCGCGTTTGGGGGTCTCCCTCCACCGGCCTGTATTGCACCTTCCGTGGCAGTGCCAGCTGTAGTTCTTTCCAAAAATCGGAGGAAGGCGTCTGGAGGCCAGGTTTGGAACGTCAGTATAAACACATCGGGATCTACGAACTGGAAACCTGTAGCCACCCAGACCCAAAGAGCACTGCTAGTTGCAGGTGCCCTAGCCCTCCAACACCTCAGGCACCCACTCACAAACCCCCAGCCCTCGCACCACGGAGCCAGGCTTCCAAAGCAACAGAGTCACGAGGTGGCGGTGCTGGCGCAGGAGACGGAGAGCAGGGTGCATGGGCTCACGCCTCTGGCCCTCGAAGGTGATGAAGATAGGTCTGCGCGTGAGCTCCAGCAGGCGGCATAGTCCCTCCCTGCAAGAACGGGACCGTCAGGCCGGGCAGGACCAGGTCTCCCGGTCCCCCCACCCCCACCCCAAGCCAAGAGCCCGACGCACCGGAAACTCTGGCTACACCAAGCCCGGCCCAGGAAGGCGTCTGAAAGAACCACGATGAGGCGCCGACAGCGGCTCAGGTTCACCAGAAGGTCGGCAGAGGGCTCTGTGGGCAAGGGTGTGGGCCGCCGGATGAGAGGCGGGGCCAGTGACAAGGGTGGGACTCAGGGAATAGGGTGAGGACCAGGAGGCTGGGCAAGGGCGGTACCCGCGCGCGGCAAGAGATCGCGGTCCTCCAGGAAGAGCTTATATCCCCGACGCCGCTCCAGCTGAGGCTTCAGAATAAAATTCACAAATTTTCGGTCCTCCGGGCAGTCGCTATAGGACACGTAGGCATCGTATAACTTTCCATCTGCAGAAAAGGTCATTCAGTGTGGCCAGTTATGGAGATAACCCTAGCCCATGCCCTGACTTCTTTGAACAAGTGAACCAGAACCAGACACCAGGACTCTTCCTTCTGTTGACCCATCTGTGTCCTTCTGAGACATTGCCTTTCCAGGTTGTACACCTAAATCCCACTAGAGCTCCCTCCACCCAGGGCTGAACCCAGCATGCTTCTGGTACTTCAGTAAGCCAAATTCTGTGCCCTAATCCACGCGGGACCCCACATACCATTCATCTCCACCTCCCCATAGGTGTCTTGGTACCAAAGCAGCACGTTCAGGCGACACTTAACATAGAGCAGGGCCACCAACAGCAGCACCAGCAGGACCAGGAGGGAGGCCAGCACGGCAACCACATGGCCAGCAGGGCCTGCAGACAGGGAGAATTACTATTCCCTTAACCTTGGGACTTCCGGAAACCCTTGCCCTCCACCACCTTGAACTTCCTCACCAGCTTTCCAAAGAGTGAAGGAGTGGGAGCTGACATTCCAGACAGAGCAGGTGAAACGTCCATAGTCCTCAGCATTGGTCAAGTTGAGCACCAGAACGCTGGACACAACCTCGGAGAAGTTGACGCTGTCCCTGGGAAAACCAGGCCATACCCTCACCTGGGGACCAAGAACATCTGTGGATGCCCGAGTCCCACCTGTCTGGGATTCACCCAGGGAGATTGCAGATTTGGGCTCAGTGGTCAGAATTTGGGCCTGGCTCCTGGGGATGCTCTGGTTACAGGCTTAGCCAGTAAACAACCCATTCAGGACTTAGGATTCTATGCCCAGTCTACAAAATATATACAAGGGTCATGAAGAAATGTTGGACCTGTCCCCAAAGTCAACCCTCTATCTGTGTCCATGGGAACACTTTGCCATGTCAGGTTTGCACAGGTACTACCCAGCCCGTGTCCAGGTTGTTATGGTTTAGGGTGTAGGTCAGAAAGACTGTTGGCCGTGGTATAGTCTGGTGGTTACTCTAATCCTGGACACCTCAGACTCTTACCAAAAGTCTTGATGGAGGCTGAAGCGGCTTTCATTGCCTAGTGGAAGACCATCTTTTAGCCACTGTACTGAGGGCTGGGAACACTGGGGCCTAGAGACCACCCACGCTGTGCAATTCAAAGCAACTGCACTGCCAAGGGCAGGTCTCAAGTCCTGATCTTCAGATGGGGAGAGGAAATTAGGGGTCCTGTCACAGACACCTGCAGAAAGAGAACCACAGGTCAGCCATGCTTGGATGCCGTCTCCCATCTTGTTCATAGATGCTCTGTGATCAAGGGAAAAAACCAAGGCAACAGGGGAGTGGTGTCAGTGATCACACTGCACCATCCACAGGTCCTGTAGCCAGAGCCCAGGCTTGCATTCCTCCCTCAGCAGTGACCAATTTGTTCTTCTGGCTCTCATGTGACGGCTTTGTGCTCCAGGGGAACATTAACAGGGAGCGGAGTGGCCAGAGCCGTATTTGAGCTGAGCCAGCCCAGCCACAGGGGCCTATCTGTTGGCTTAACCCTACGGGACACCAGTCCAGCCTTCACACTACCCCTCAGAGCAGGGCCAGCTCCCGCCTCCCTCAGCCTGGCTGGCTTCTACGGAAGAGTTGCAGGGACTATGGGCACCAAAGGTTGAAAGAATCCAAATACTAGCATCTTTCACAGGGACAGGGCAAGCTGGGGCCTGGGCTTCGAGAATCTCCCTCCACCAACCACAGACCTGCCCTTTTACTTCTCTGGGGCCTAAACTTTTCATCTTTGAGGATGATGACCCTTGCAGGAGGCTGGAGAGGTACACTGCATCACCTCATTTAGCACCCACACCCAAGACCCCCCCCCGCACTGAGATTCCTAGGCTTACTGATATCTTTTTTTGTTTGTGTTTTGTTTTTGTTTTTGTTTTGTTTTGCAAAACAGGGTTTCACCTGTAACAACCCGGGCTATCCTGTAACAACCCTAGCTATCCTGGAACTTGCTTTGTCTCTGCCTTGCCAAGTGCTGGGATTAAAGGCATGCACCACCATGCCCAGCAGGCTTACTGATTCCTGTATGTCTCTTCTGTAGGCCTTGAGCAGGAGAAGTAGAGGCTCTCATCGTCCCTGCCCACCCTGAGTTCAAAACCAACTGCGAGAGAGAAGGGATGAGCGTAGGCTTTGACCTCTGGCATGTCTCCAGGCACAGAGTTCAGCAGAGAGTGCGATGTGGAGCCAGCCACATTTCCACAGGCAGGAATTGGGGTGGAGACTTGGTTGTGGCCGTCTCTGACCTGCCTACCTGCCATGGCTCTTCCAGGGCCTCTTCAGGCCGAACACTGGTTCCACCCCTGGCTCCACGGGGGCTCCTTAACCGAGCAGATGGGTCCACTGGAGGCGGAGAAGGACTCCTTTCTGTCTATTCAGCCAGCTGGACAAGGTACCTGGAGGTCAGAGGTTGTCACCATACCCAGGGGACAAGTTAAACAGGAACAGGTTGAGTTAACCAGTAACTGCCAGCCACCAGGAGTGCTGCTGCACACCAGACAGCTTCCTTGCAACTTTGGCCAGTCTCTGAGAACTGTGTGAACTCCTAGATACCACAAGGCTGGAGCAGACTCTGCTTCACACAGCTTGGAAGAGGCAGTCCCATGGACCACCTTCACTTGTCCTGGAGGCACTGTGGTGACCCAGGGATACAGCAGACATGCTCCAAAAAGGATCTAACCTCAGGAGGTGGCAGTTAGCCTCATTCCTGGCTGTCCCCTGTATGAACTGCTGCTGAGTGCAGGTGGGTGCATGGGTGCTTGTCACCTGGCCAGGACCTGGGGACTAAGGGGATATGAGCCATAAGTGAAATCTAACTGTGAGATTTTGCTCTAAATACAGTCACGCATGCAGAATGTGAATGGACACGTCACATCTGCGGACACCTTGAGGCTCATCTGGGCCAGGAGAGGTAAATGGGGACCAAGCTAGTATAGAGGTCACTCTGAAGGGCCTTGGGAACCCCTTCCAGGTACTCCAAACACAATGACTCCTATCTAGGGTCCTGGGCCATTCTCAGCTCACAGCAATTATACACACTTGGCGCTCAGTAAGCTCTGTAATGGCTTGACTGCAGGGAATATTCAGGATGGTCTTCGTTAGCTGCCCAGGACCCTAGGTGACCCCACTTTCCTTGGCACCCTAAGTTCACTCTCTTTACACATTTCAGTGAGTTCCTGGCCCCCCCATGCTTCTCAGACACATGGGCAGCAGAAGCATGGGGGTCAAGCCCCAAGACCGTGGGCCTGGCTTGCCTCAGATGCCCTTCCTATACCTAAGGTCCCAGGGGCTTTTTAAAAATACTGTCTCCCTTTGTTCTGCACTGGGTAATGCTCAGCCAGAAATCCCCGGCTTGGCTAGACATCAATCTCCTTGGGAGCTAGTTCAGGAAGAGGCACATTACTGTCAGGGGTGGCAAGGTGATCCTTCCAGAAACCCTTTAGGATAAAGGGCAGTCCTACTACAATCCTGGAAGCAAAACACTTACCAAGGGTCTGTAGAAGATAGACTTCTCAATTGGCCCCTCAGAGTGACCAGAAATACATACCCCAGCCCAGCAGGTCACAGAACGTGTCCTGCCATAGCCCTCAATCTCCTCAAGCTCAGAAGACCTTGACCCCTGCAAAGGCAGTCACAGACACGGCCAGAAATCAAGACCAAGCTGCCAGGATGTGACTCACTGAGGCAGCCAGCAGGGTCCTCTCCTGTGCCCTCTTCTCTTTCACATTCTATGCATGCACAACCCCTCTGGCCCCTACACAGCCATACTGAGTTCATCCTAGCCAGTGTGCACACATGTATCTTTCATATAACACTGCTTTTCACACAGGCTTTGGGCTGCACGCTGCACACGCCTCACCTCACAGGCTCACTCCCAAATATCTCAGGGGCCCAAGCACATGCACGTGCGCACGTACACACACACACAGACACACACATACACACACGTTGTGTCTTCATGTACCTCGGCACCATGGGTCTCTCCTCAGTCAAGCCTACCTCCAAGAACAGACCATAAGGCCACAGGATCACTCAGAGCAACAGGGAGGGCACAGTCACCTGGTTTCCAGATCTTTCCTCCAGAGGGGAGATAGATGGTCATTGAGGTCAGTAACATGAACTTGTGAGCAAATTGTCCCCTCTGCTGGGCCCCAGAAAGGAGCCACAGTATTGTGGCTACCCACGATGCATCACCAAGCTTGGGCGAGGACCTGGCTTTTGTTGATATATATTTTAGTCAGAACTTTCCCCCTTAGTTTCCTGGCCTTACAGTCACATCCTCTCCTAAGCCTAAACCCCACCCAGGTACCCACCCCTTCCCCTGGTGGGGCGGGCTGTTAGCGGTCCTTGCCCCGCCTTGCCTGGCTCTTCCTGTAACTCTGAGAGGCCCTTCCTCCCAGGACTGCCCCAGTCCCTAAGCACTCCATTAGTTCCTGTGCTAGAGCGTAGGTGTTGACCTCAAGTGGCAGGGAGATCCTGGCAAGGAGACCCCCAGCCAGAATCGTCCTAAATATACACTGGGTAGGAGGCGTGCCTCCTAGACTCCATCCTTCCTACCCCGGCCTTTTGGACACAGGTCTTGCTGTGTAGTCCTGATTGACCAGGAACAGTCTATGTAGACTAGGCTGGCCTGGAACTCAAGGAGTTCCATCTGCCTCTTTCTCTTCAGTGCTGAGATTAAAGGTGTGCTCCAAGTCTGGCAACACTCTCAATTTTTTCTACTATACTCAGGAGTGGAGAGGAAGAATTATATTATCTGCCCCCCCAACACACACACACACAAAAGTCCCAGGCATGACTCACCTCTGACCTACTGCAGCAAAGGGGATCTCTCAGAAGCTAGTGACCAATAATGAAACCTAGAGCATCTCTCTGGTCCTTACCCTGTCTACCTCCCAGGCAACAGACTCCAGTGAATGGATAGTCGTGACATTAGTTTAGGGCTGGGGTGAGGGAGCAGAGCCCCTTTCCAAAGTAAAGTGCCAAACACAGAGCCACAAGCCTCTGGCTCTGAGGTGGGACAGGCACACACACACACACACACACACACACACACACACAGAGAGAGAGAGACAGAGAGAGAGAGAGAGAGAGAGAGAGAGAGAGAGCTCATTTCTCCTATTGCCAAGGACGCCAGGTTGACTTGAGCCTTGGGGCCGGCCCAGTGGCATTATTTACCGACCTGGCCAAGGGTCTTCTCCAGTTCCTCTCCCTCCCTCCACCCTCACTGTTGTAGGAGTAGGTCCAGGATACTCCCCTATGATTTTCCGGCCTCTGGTTCAGGCCACCCAGGAGTATTGCCAATGCAGGAGCAGGCTTTCCTACCTAACCTTACCTGATGATGACCCAGCCTTCTTCAAACCCCTGTGGCCTGGTATTCATGCCCTCTAGGTGATGGTGCCCCTTAGGCTCGGGACCTGAAAGGCTAACAGAAACAGATCCCTGTCCTCTATACTCGTGGAGCTGCTTGCTACCTGAAGCCTCCTCATAGGCACAGTAACTAGCTGACCTCGCCAGAGACAGTTCTGTGCTTCCCATATTGTGAGTAAAGAAACTGAAATGCAGGACTGGAGAGATGGCTCAGTGGGTAAGAGAACTGGTTGCTCTTCTGGAGGACCTGGGTTCAATTCCCAGCACCCATATGGCAACTCACAGCTGTCTGTGACTCCAGTTCCAGGGGATCCAGCATGCTTCCACAGACATACATACAGGCAAACACCAATGCACGTAAAATAAAAATAAAGAAATTAAAAAAAAGCAGGAAGCTGAAATGCAGCAAAGCTCAGAAACACCCAGGTCAGAAGTGAAGAGGCAAGTGTACCAGTACTGAGGTCAGTGCCTTCAAGCACTTTTGCCCCCTAATAAGCCTTGCATAATGTTTGAGCCCCCTGCACCTAGTCTCTATCACCCTCTCCGGATCTTGAGTCGATACCATTCTCCTTTCTTCTGTTTGTTAACATCTACCACCCTCTCTCCTGCCCTCAACCCAAAGGGTCAGGATGCCTTCTGGGGTCAAACGACCCTTTCACAAGGGGTCACCTAAGACCATCGGAAAAGGCAGATATTTACATTACGATTCACAACAGTAGCAAGACTACAGTTATAAAGTAGCAATGAAAATAATTTTATGGTTGGGGGTCACCACAACATGAGGAACTATATTAATTGATCGCAGCGTTAGAAAGGTTGAGAACCACTGCTCTATCCAATACCCCAGCCTCAGGCCAACTTTGCATTAAAGCCCCGAGAGCCTCAAACACTTGTCCCTGAAGTCCTTTGAGGCCCTCCAGGTCTGGGGATTTAAACCCCAGCCTGGACCCTTGCAGCACTCAGCATTGCCTCCACCTGATGAGATTCCTGGAAAGCCCAGATCCTTCTCCCGCCAGGTCCAATCCTTGAGCTCTACAGGCACCCTGTGCTATTGGAAGAGTTAAGACCCTGGGGCTGCGAACCCCGAAGCCAGAGCCCGCTCCCCTCTTGCAGGCTTGTTTTACTCCTCAGCGTCCCCGCGGCCTGAGTTTTACTCCTACTCAGTCAACTCTTGACCAGTGCCGCTCCAGGTCCTGGCGTGTGCTGGGTTCCCAGATATCTTTTTTAAAGGAAAGAGTGTGCATAAAAGGCCTCAAGGAAACCGATTCCCCGAATTCATCTTGCTCCTGCAACTTGCCCTTCGTCTTCTGTGGGTGGCAAAAGACCTGGTTCCCGGGCCCCAACAGGTGCTATTAGGCAGGTCTATTAGGCACGCGTGCAGAAGACGGGGACGCGCACGGAGAGCGGAAGCAAGCTGACAGCTAATCTGGGCGTGCATCGAGTGGGGAGCTCGCAGAAGGCGGAAGCTTTGCTGGGGTCCCGTAAACCAAGGCCCCAGTCAGCCCCTCAATCTGCCCAGGGTGTCCTAGATTGCTCAGGGTTGAGATACGCTCGTGGGAGTGAAGATGGGGTTTTGCGCCCCTGGACCGCCCCTGCTAGCTTGCATTGAAGTCAAGAGGAAGCTGTTTGATCACGTCGGGCAGAGTGAAGAGAGCGAAACCGGGGAAGGGGACTGGGCGCAGCGCTCTCGAGCTTCCGGGCTACTCGGGGAAACCCGCCTGGTTCAGAGCTACTTCCTGCGGGACCATAGCCCCGAGGCTCCTCGGAGCAAAGTGCGCCCAGGTCCCCAACCCTAGAACTAGAGCGACTCCAGGAACCACGACCTCTACTCACCTCCTCGCGTCTGAGTCACCACTGTCACCCACCTACTCTCAGACCTGGGATTCGAGCGGAAACTGGTCGTTTACCTGGCCTAGGTGCGCAGCAGCGACAGACCCAGCGGCAGGTGCAGCCCCGCCCCGCAGGCAGGGCGAGGGCGGACCCTAGTGTCCCGCTTAATGCCTGAAGCTAGTACCGAAGACTGTTGGGAGTTCAGTCTTCAACCTTCCCGGCTTTGGGGCAGTGGCCAAACCAGCTCAGCCAGCCCAGCCAGCAATGGGTCACCCCGCCGACCATCATGGTGTTCTGCTTTTCTAGCCTGAGTTCTTCAATTTCGTTCAGGAAGTAAGTCTGTCTTGATCCACACCCACCCATAACTGATCCTGTGTCTTCTCTTGCCACCCTAAAATCCGGATATTTGGAAAGGAGAACCTTCTTCAATAAGTTGTGCCTAAGAGATGAGGCAAACCAGAGAAGAGCCAGATGGCCCGAGGCTACCACACTTCAGACTTGCTGGGCACTGAACACTCCTCCCCTCCTCTGTCTAGCCCAGGGCAGAAATAATCCCTAAAAACTGGATCTACATCGTGAGGCTCAGAGATCAATACACACAGGTTTATTTTGTTTATAAAAAGTTTTATCGGTGGTGGGGATCCAGCTAATGGGGGGCAGAGGGCAGAAGTTAGTCTCTGGGCTTCCCACCAAGTAGGAGGCCACAGAGCAGGATCTGGGGCCCAGAAACCAGGAGGTCCATGGAACTCGGGCTGATTTTACTACAGTGGGATCTTATGAGCAGCTTAAAGTTCTATGGGTACTACCCAGGGTCACTGAAGAGTTTCAAGTCAGTCTGTGACACATTTGAACCCTAGGAACGTCAGAGCAAACTCCACAGGCACATCTGTGCCGATCATAAAAACCCTTAAATATACATGGAATTCCAGTGACCCCCTACATATCCGAGAGTCTCCCTTAGTTGACATATATAACATATAACATATGTTCCTAGGGTGCCCAAATATGCCTACACATATCCAAGGGCCTCCTATGATCGTCTTTCACTGACATATATGTAGACCGCTGAGGATCCTACATATACGTGGACCCTTTTACAGCCTCCCTCAACATACAGATACACACTGTCGTGGACAGAGGCAAGCTGCAGAGATGGGGACTCCTTCCTCGTCCAGGCGCCTGGAAATCAGCGTTTCTCCACTGCCCCAGGTTGTCTACACGTCTGTGCTCCTAGAACTGAAGCTACAGGAAGGATGAAGTTGGTACGGGTCAGAGGCCAGGCCTGTCCCCAGACATAGACCAGCCCCCAGCCAAATGAGCCACTGCATCCGTACCACATTTTCTCCCGAAGTATCTGGTACTTGTCCTCCAGAACCTTATTCTTCACTGACTGGGGCACATCGGGCACAAACCATGCGGCAATGAGCTTGATGCATAAGGCGACATGCTGGGGGGAGCAGGGAGGAGAGAAAGGCGACATGCTGGGGGGAGCAGGGAGGAGAGAAAGGCCACATGCTGGGGGGAGCAGGGAGGGGAGAGGCCCAGCCAGGTCAGTGGCTAAGAAGAACATTTAGGATTTGGGGGCTGGGAAAGAAAAGTGAGACCAGCCTTTACTTAGGCTCCCTCACAATTCTGCCCACCTCAAAGAGGATGACGAAGGCCAGCCGGATGGCCAGAATGAACCAGAACTGCTCAGACAAGTTGTAGTCCCGGTCGTTTCGGTAGTCCCGGTACCTGAAGTAGAGAAGTCCCTAAAGTCAGGAATCAGGAGTTTGGAGGGCATTTTATGGGAGATAAGAGGCTCCAAACCTGCACACAGTCACATTTTCTTGGCTTCCCATCTTGCCATGGTCCTGGAAGTGCTTGGTGTAGAAGACGGACAAGCTGTGGTTGACATAGCCCTCGAGGCAGCTGGAGAGAGAGAGAGAAGTGTGGGACTCTCGTGGCCTGAGGCCTCTCCTGAGAACTCACCTGCATCTAGGGGCCCCGAGGGGAGGGCATACCATGGAAGTCCTCCTCCATTTCCCCCATGAGAAAAGTACAAGGCCACACTGGGGAGGGGTGAAAGAGGTTGAGAGGCCACCAACCGTCTTCTCTACCAGGCTGAAAGAAAGCTGCTAGGGCAGATGCAAAGAGCCCCAGTCTGCAGGTGCCGTGGGAGCGAGACACATCTGTGCTCTGCCTTCCCATGCCAGAAGCAAGGCAGAGGTGTATCACTTCGCAGGCAAGCCATTTAGGTATTGCCCGCTCATTATCAAAAGGGCCTGGTACTTCTCCCCTACCAAGGCTCCGTCAGTTAGTCCTGGGATCCAGTCAAGGTATGTAAGTCATGTAGACAGTTCAAGGAGTAGCCAAGTCCCAGCCTCACTGCAGCCCCAGATAGCCCTGGCAGCACCCACAAGAGCCCCAGGTCTGGGCTCCAAGGGCTTAACCGGAAGGAAGGGCCAGTGTCTCAGGGGGGCTTGACAGTTTAACACCTTACTCAGCTGTGAAGTTCCTGTTCTGTGCGCATGGGCCATAGTGGTACTTGTAGACTATTCTGGGGATGAACTCTGAGGTGAAGGCGATGACCATCCCATTTGCAATGACTGCCAGCACTCCAATGGTCTCCAGTACCTGCAGCCAGGTCCCTGAACCACAGCAGTGACGTCAAACAGCCCGTCCTAATCCTTGGTAGGCTCCCACCCGAAAAACTTAGAACCTGACTGGCTAAGGAACCTTGTGACCTTGTGACCTCTCCATTCACAGTCTCATTGTAGCCCGTGGGCCAGATTACCTACAAGGAAATCCCCAGCTGAGACACACGTGGTATGGCTGTACGCTCTTCTTCTTGATGTAAGCAGTGAAGGACTCCGCTTTCCCCATCCCACTCTTCCTGAAACTCTTCAACAGGTTGTTTATCTCCTGGACCCCACCCGAGCGAGGGTTCCTAAACCTGGGCCCTAGTCTAGGATTCTTCCTAATGCTTCTCCCCACATCTAGAAGCCAAGCCCTGCTTCCCTGCCACCTGTCATTCCCAGGATGGAAAGTCCGGTGACTGAGGCCTTGGACCCTCTGCTCCCTCCCATGTGATCAGACTCCAGCTCTTCCACATGGTTCCCTTGGAGCTTGCAAGACCTTCAGCCACATACTAGAGGCTCAGGGGAGGGCCTTGTTGGGTGTATTGTAGTCTGCCTTTTTCTAGGGATTGTGCTCAGGAGATTTAGTCTCCATATCTGGAAAGTCTAGAATCTGTCTCTGGAATAAGGGGAAGGGCCCCAGCGATTACAAGTTGCCTCAGGGTGGCCTGGCATTGACTGGTGAAAAACTCAGGGTTGGAAGTTGCTTCTCCCAGCGCCCTGACTGTTCTCCTCCACTGTACAATTGCTGTGCTCTCTGACCTATGTCGTTAGCCTTGCGGGGAATCAGGCGCCGCTGTAGTCTGACCATCTTGATGGCGTCGAGGCGGATCTCCACAAGGTTGCTGAAGAGAGCCAGCAGCGGTGCCAGCGGGAAGGCAGCCACAAAGATGGTGGTGAAGCCGTACTGGATCACTGCAGGGTGGAAATGTCACCCTGGGTCCAGGACAGTCCCCCACTTCTCACCCTGCATCCCCACCCCATCTGTTCAGCCCGCTGGAGCTTTACGCACTCATCTCCATGAATTCATCAAACAGGCTGAAGGTGTTGACGGGATTCATGCGGTAGTTACGCTGCCACTCCTCCAGGTCTGGGTCTTTGGACTCAATGCCGTGTTTATAAGCCCGTATTAAGCGGTATTTATGGGCCAACCACCTGTGGGCACCAAGAGTGTGTGGGACATACAGAAAGATGGCAGGGCACAGGGACAGGCACTATAGGAGGCTGGGGTGGGGTAGAAAGAGGTCCTCACGGGTGCAGGTACTCAATACAGTTGCTCAGGGTTTGCTTCAGCCCCATGATGATGGCCATCTGGATGAACAGGTCCATCATGCAGCCACTGAGATGGCACTGTGGGTCCATTGTAAAGGTCAGGGATGGCGCTCAAGGGAGAAGAGGGACTTAAGAACTAGGCAGTGGGGTCTGAGGAAAGACTGACCTCCTCTAGCTTCCACAGGCCGGCCAGGCGCGTGGACTTCCCAGGGTGACCATTGATCCTAGGGAGAAAATCAAGGCCTATGAAGAAGCTGACTACAGAGCAAGTTCCAGGATAGCCTGGACTATAACAAAGAAACCCTATCTTGAAAAATAAAGAAACAGAGGCTGGAGACATGGCTCAGAGCTTAAGAGCCCTTCCAGAGGTCCTGAGTTCAATTCCCAGCAACCACATGGTGGCTCATCATCATCTGTAATGAGATCTAGTGCCTTCTTTTGGCCTGCAGGTGTACATACAGACAGAACACTGCATACATAATAAATAAAAAATCCTTTTTAAAAAAAGAAAACTAAAGAAACAAACAAGCAAATAATAAATACCAACAATAAATTAAAGCTGCCATGAATGTGATTTATGGGTTCTAGGATTCACCCCAAGTCTGTCATCAAATCTAACAGTGTCATCCACATTATTTTGTCTTTAAAGTCATAAAAGATACACAAACAAGGGGTTGTGTAATCTTCTACAATTAAGGAGAGTCGCTGTGGCCAGGCATGTAGCAGAGGAGTCCCTCCATGAAGTCCCTGAGAGGCCATTATGGGAAACTCTCAAAATGAAGCCTAGATCATATTGGAGATGTTAGAGGTGCCAGAGCCATGGGATATCTGCTAAGGAGAGCTACAAGCAAGGAGTGGACCCAGCTTGAGGGAGAGAAGTGTGTTGCAGGCAGCAAAGCTGGGAGGCTAGAGCCATCTAAGCACTTTGACAACGGACATGGAGCTACAAGATTTGGAGTTTGTCCTGTTGGATTTCAGTCTCACTTTTGTCCAATATTTCTGTTTTTGTTTTGTTTTTCAAGACAGGATTTCTTTTGTGCAGCCCTAAATGTCCTGGAACTAGCTCCATAGACCAGCTGGCCTTGAACTCAAAAGAGCTTGGCCTGCCTCGGCCTCCTGAGTGCTGGGATTAAAGGTGCGCACCAGCACCACCCGGCTCAGTATTTCTTCTGCATATCCCTACTTCTCCTTTTCATAACAGTAATGTATATTCTGTGTCACTGTGTGTTGGAAGTATGTAATTTGCTTTTTTGTTTTACAGGGCACTAGGATTACCTGAGTCTCAGAAGACTTTGAACTTTGAACCTTTAAATAGCATTGAGACTGAAGGACTATAGAGTCTTTTGAAACTGAACTGAACACATTTGGCATTGTGATAGGTTTCGTGCCTACAGGGGGCCAGAGTGTGGAATGTGCTGGTTTGAATGAGAATGCCCCTCATAGACTCATAGGCTTGAATATTCGGTCCCCAGTTGGTAACAATGTGAAGGATTAGGTGTGGCCTTGTTGGAGATAATGTCGCTGGAGCAGGCTTTGAGGTTTCATCTCTCTCTCTCTCTCTCTCTCTCTTTCTCTCTCTCATAATGTCACTGGAGCAGGCTTTGAGGTTTCAAATCTCTGTCTGTCTGTCTCTCTGTCTGTCTTGTGGTTGTCAATCAAGATGTGAGCTCTAAGGTTTCCTTTGCTCTGCCATCATGAACTCTAACCTCTGAAACCTTACAAATTAAATGCCTCTATTTGTAAGTTGCCTTGGTTTTGGTGTACCTAAGAAAAACAGGAAAGAAATGGCAGGAGGGGACAGTACCCTGAGTGAGGCACCTTACTCTAGGTGTGCACAGGCTTGGCCTCACGTGAGCACCTTCTTAGGCTCAGATGCATCTGTTGAACATGACCTCTGTAACTCCCCATGGTAACTGCGCATAGTGTCATTTTGTGCTTAAAAGCGTCTGCTTTCATGTCCCATCCGGTGGCCACACTTCCAATGCCCGCACTCAGAAGCTGAAGCAGGAGTGCCATGAACGAGAATACGTTATGCGAGCGAGCCTATCTCAAACCAAGCAACCTGCCCCCACCCTGCCCCGAATGCTAGCATCGAAGGTGTGTAAGTAAGATCTGGCCACTTTAAAAAGCGAGAAACAAGCCAGGAGAGCTGAAGCCGAGGGAGCTGGGGGCCAGGGCGGAGGACGGGCATATGGGGCAGTGGGGACATACCTGCCCAGAATGAAGGCGATGTAGATGAGAGAAGAGAAGTGGGCGAAGAACTGCAGGATGAAAAACTTGACAGTGAACTTGCTCTCTCGCTCTGAAAAGGTCCTGGGATCCTCTGGAATGAGACATGGCCATCCTGTCTTTCCCTAGACATCGTGACCTATGCCTCTCAAGTGAGAGGACCCAGAAAAGCAGGAAGTCCCCACCCCACGTCTGATCACAGCTCCATGACTCTCAGCCCCAAGTCCTCCCCAGCTCCCAGAGAGAGACTGGCCTCTTCTCACCAAAGCTACAAAGCTTCAGGGCTACATATTTGTTGACCTGAGGGAAGAAGGAACCAAGCAGGAGTCACCTAGAAGTTCAGTCGAGTCCCCTAGGGCTCCCCCTGCCTGATTTCTACCTTGGTCATGATGACTATGATTACATAGTGCACCACGGCTCCGGTCACCACCACGACAGTCGTCACCTGGTGCTCCATGATGCTGCCGAAAAGAGCAGCGGCCATGACACGGTAGACAACCAGTGCATGGGTCAGGCCAATCATGAAACAGATCTGTGAAGGGTGGGGGGCGGCCATGAAGGATGGGGACGGCTGGGTCCCCAGCCCTTACCACAGTTCCCGGCAGTACCATGAACAGGGACAGGATGAGAATGATGGTGCTGCTCAGGTAGGAATGGTGATGGGTCTTCAGCTGGTAGTCTGGGCAGTTGATGAGCTGAAGGGCCATCTCTTCCTAGGAAGGTCACCAGACACGCCTCAGATACCCGGATACAGGTATGAGCCACGTGGGACACTGGAAACAGGCAGCCTTGATGCCGCCGGCCCCGTCCTACCTCTTCCTTATCCCATCCATACAAGTCCCAGTGCAAGACCACACGGGCGCGCTGCCGCTTCCAGATCTCCAGAAACACTGTGGCTGCAGTGAGCACAGAGAAGTGTCACAGTACACCTGGGGTGAGCCAAGGTGACTGAAGAGCTCAGGCTGGCTGGCCCTAGGCCCCTCCAGGGATGCCCAGCAGTAACTCACCCCACAGAGCCATGAAGATGGCAAACACCACAGTGCCATCGTTGTCAAAGAGATGAGTGAGCTGAGGAGAGGAACAGAAAGGCTCAGGCTGGGCCTCCTACCCATGTCCTCCATGGGGAAGGGAGAGCCTGGCTCTTCAGGGCATCCAGGCGCCTTGTCTTCCCCACTTCTAGATGGCCATACTGTGCCAACCCTCACATACGCCCTGGAAAGACTCTAGTAACACCAAACCTTTGCAAAAGCGCACAGTCCTGAGAGTCGCTGGTAATTGTGACTGTTTTCGCCAAGGGGGCACATAAAGATGTCCTCTGCCGCACAGATCTCTTTGCTGGGAGTAGAGACGAGACCAGTGAGTCTCAGGTGCAGGCTCCCACAGTCATTGCTAGCCCACAGTGAGATTGCAGGCCTCAAGCCCCAGCCCACCTACCTGATCTGGCTGGAATTAAACAGGGCAAAGCCACTCAGAAAGATGATGAGGCCCACCACAGCAGCAGGCACCAGCATGTAGGTGTACCAGCCAAGCCAGGCGAAATACAGGGCCACCTTCTCGCCGAAGTAGTTCCTGTGGGAAAGCTTCCCCATCAAGGCCACCCTCCCCAGTGGCCTCAGGACCTGATAGGGGAGGGCATATGAAGAGAGGCTGGGAGGGGGGTGCTGCTGGCATCAGTGTAAGTGGGGACTCTGTCACCTAGGACTGGATTTACTGGGTCACAGTTTATCTGGTTTGAGCACAGATGTGGCACAGAGGTGAGCGGCTTGGTGTGGTCTTACCTGATGTCATCAATCGGCTGTTTCCGGAACATGTTTCTCCATCGGGCCCATTTTCTCTTCAGTTCTTTTTCCCCCTGCGTCACGGAAGACAGGCCATGAGAACTTGGCTTCCCACCTCGGGTTCCCACCCTCAGGCCCATTTTGAGCTTGTCACCCCTCACCTCGTGCAGAGGAAACATGGTCTCAAAAACCCCATCTTTCACTAGATCCTCAAAGGTATCTGGGGTGACAGGGAACCTCAGTCAGAGAACAGTGGAGGGTAGGAGAACCCCGCCCACAGCAGCACCCTCCTAGGCCACCTGTCCATCTGTGCTTACCACCAGGTTTCTCCTTGTTGTTGACGACGAAGCTCACAATTCGGATCCTGAAACCCAAGAATCTAAGAATCAGAACGGCCCCATGATAGCCTAGTGGACCCTGCCCCTTAAGGCCCTGTTCTCTACCCTCTCTGCTCTGGAAGAGGCACCCTAGCAGTACTGACCAGAACCCAGAGGCCATAAATCACCGTGAAAGCCTGCTTGGGTCAGGTTTGCCTGGCTTCCAGGACAGGGTCCTGCCCCTACTCTCAAGAGTTCCACATCTCTCAAGAGTTCCACATCTCTCCCACCATCTCTCCACCTCTGACCACACTCGCTTGTACATGCTGAGTGTTAATGTGCACAAGCCCTCTTACGTGGTTATGAAGCCTTCTGCTTACGTGAAAACTGATGTTCAGGGGTTAGGGTAGCTTGCCCAAGGCCACACAGGTATTTGGAGAGCCATACTCAGACACATGTTAAGTGTCTGAGATACAGTCACCTTGTGAACACATGGAAAGCCGTCTGTGGGTCTGTCTTTCTCGGGCCCTGAATCAAGGTGCCTCTACTCCTCTGATTTCCCCTCAAGCCTCCCCAGTACCAAAAAATTCTGTGTTCACAGGACTCTGTTGCCTGGTGACTAATTCCCTGGCTGTCCTTTGCCAAAGTCAACTAGATAAGCCCCCAGATAGCTCTGCCTGGGGTGGGTAGGTGACATAGAAGGACCGGAAAGGGGTGCATGAATGTTCATGGAGAAGCAGGTAACTGGGGACACAGGATGCTGTCCCCGTCAGATATCCAGGATCCAGATGTCCAGAGAGGGGATTCTGAGCTGATGAGGAAGGGATCTATGGGAGATAAAGACCTCAGGGACTAGAAGGGATGTCTGTTCACTTCAGGGCTGACTTTGATTCAAGGAAACCCATGACGAGGAGTTCTCACAGGATAGCAAGAAGTGAGCTGTTGTTGTGGAATATTATTTTAACTGTTCAAAGGTGTGTTACATTTGTTTCGTTGCCCGCCTAAGGCACCTGATTGGCCTAATAAAGAACCAAACGGTCAACAGCTAGACAGAGAAAAGGTAGGTGGGGCTGGCAGGCAGAGAGAAAAAGTAGGAGGAGAAATCTAGGTGTGTGTGTCAGGGAGAACAAGAGGAAGAAGAAAGAAGAGAACAAGAGAGATACCCGGCGCCAGAAGCCAGGCAGCCGCCAGCCAGACGTGAGAAACTGAATATAAAATATAAAGAAGAGGGGCTGGAGAGATGGCTCAATGGTTGAGAGCATTGCCTGCTCTTCCAAAGGTCCTGAGTTCAATTCCCAGCAACCACATGGTGGCTCACAACCATCTGAAATGAGATCTGATGCCCTCTTCTGGCCTGCAGGCAGACACACAGACAGAATATTGTATACATAATAAATAAATAAATATTTTTAAAAAAATATAAAGAAGGGATGAAAAGTAAAAAGCCACAAGGCAAAGGAAAGAGAAGAGAAACTGGTTAATTTAAGTTAAAATAACTAGCCAGAGATGAGCCTAAGCTAGGCCAAGAATTCAAAACTAATAAGTCTCCATGACAGGATTTGGGAGCTGGTTGGTGGTCAAAAAGAAAAGCCCGATATAAGCTGTCATTATTACTGTTACAAAATGAATCCTGGGGCACAGAGCCTTGCTCAAAAAGTGGGACCTGATCCTCTGTGACATCCATGTTAAGACTGGATGGAGCTATATTGTCCTACTTCAGGTGGGATGTGGCCCTTGTTCTGCCTGGACACAGGGCAAGGATTCTCCTGGCTGGGCTCTGGATACATCCTCACCTTGTGGTAACTGGGATGGAGTTAACATTGCTCAGTTTGGCTCTGGGGCCAGGATCTTCAGGCTTCATGAGAAGAGTCCGGTACAGGTCAAAGATCCTACTGTCAGCACGAATTCCAAAGAACACCTTCTTCTGGTCCTTTATTATCTTGGGAGCCACAGGGGAACCAACTCATCCACAGCCACTATCCTGTCCCCTGTTCCTGGGACATATGATGTGGCATTCCCCATGACTTGGCCCCTGATGCAAACTAACCCACCTTGAAGTGGAAGCCCTTGCTTTTGAGTTTCTCCAGGAACTGCTTTTGCCTCTGCACCTGCAGCTCGTTTTTCTGGGTCTGGAGATCAGCCACCAGGACACAGTCCCATTGATGAGAGTCCTCAAGCTGGAGGAAGAAGGCATGGGATAGAAACAGAACACTGGACAGAGATAGGAAGAAATGTAGATGCGGAACCTAGTGCAAGACACAGGATGGGAAAGGGTGTGGGACAGGAAGCCAGCATAGGACATGGATATGGGAAGAGGTGTAGGACCATAACCAAGCATAGGATACACAGAGTAGGTGAGGGGTCGATGGAATCAAGCCTGGGGGGTCTGATTAGCCTCACCTTACAAGTTCCCCTTTCCATCAGTGGCAAGCAGTCCCCTTCTGGCCCCACAAAGATCTGAAGGCTCTCATCACCCTGGAGATCAGAGAGGAATGGGGAGACAAGCATGTAGTTCTCCTCCTACATTCTCTGAGTTGGTAAACAAAGAAGCAAGACTCCCTACTCTGCACCAAGCTGGGGGCTGGTCTGCCAGAAACTAGTCGGCAAATAGGTCGTTCCTGGTGGAGGTGAGGCTGAGAATGTCACAAGGGAGCAGAGGGTGACAACAGAACCAGCAGAGTCTGTGTGGCAACACCAAGGAGTTCCTTCAGACAGCCCCATTCCTCCACGGCAGACAGACAGTGGTTCACAGGGATGTCACTGAATGAAGGCCTAGTGAGCTCTTGATGGGTGAAGAAAGGGCAACCTCAGAGAATCAGGGAGGGGCAGGTCAGAGGGCTGGAAAACACCACCTGCACACATTTTTTAAGCGTCTGAAGATGCCAAAGTCAGGGGACATCAGGGATGCACTGTGTAGTGCTGGGAGTTCACACAAACTTGGGGAACATTTTACACTGGAATGTTAATTGACAGTAGTGGACCCTGCGGCCAGGCCATCCTTGAGAACACAGACCCCCCCCCCCCAACAAGACAGGTCTATCCCCCAATGCTGAGAGCCATGAATGGAATCCGGAGGACTTGAAGCTTTTGACTGGTTCACTACTGGACCACAGTGGAGACCCCAGATCTTCTGGGAGATGGGCTTGCATCCCTCCCGACTCTGGCCTAGGTTCAGTGCCTAGAGAAAGCTGTGAGCATGGGAAACATAGTGGGCACCAGTATCACCTCAATCCATATGAGGAAGGTTGTGGCTGCCCCTTAGATCTATGGCAGTCAGGGATGCATGACTGGTTGTGGAAGTGAGTAATGGTCCTGCGGATGCCTATAATCCATCTCACCTAAGTCCTCAGAGAAGTTCAGAGGGTCACGTGGAGAGTGTCCAGGAGTCACGCCACCAAGATAGGGGGAAGAAGTATCTTAAGGGGAAGCTAAGAAGATGGTGACTTGGGGCTGGAGAGATGGCTCAGTGGTTAAGAGCACTGACTGCTCTTCTGGAGGACCAGGGTTCAATTCTCAGCACCCACATGGCAGCTCACAGTTGCCTGTCTGTAACTCCAGTTCCAGAGAATCCAACATCCTCACACAGACATACACACAGCCAAAACACCAAGGCTAGCAAAAATAAAAATAAAAATGACTAATAGCCACACAGAATTTTGAGTGACAAGTATAGGTGAATAGTGACAAGACCAGGGTGTGCGGCTGCGAGAGCTGGGCGGCACAGGTGTGCTCTGTCCTGGGAAGCTAACAGAGGGCTGGGGGACACCAGAATGACCCTGTAGCTCTATTACTAACTTAAATCTCAAATAAGCTTGTTTTTAAGAAAACGAACCTTAGGAATCTACATCTATCATAATACCTTTTAAAAAAGATGTGCATAGAATTGGTACTTTGCCTGCATTTTTGCCGGCAGAGTCTGTGTACCCATGGGAAACAAAAGAGGGCACCAAATCTGCTTCAACTGGGTAGGTAATACAGAAGGACCAGAGAAGTTACAGATTTTTAGGAGCCACCATGTGGGTGCCTGAAATTGAGTAAGGGTCCTCTAGAAGAGCAGCCGGTGCTCAGTGGTTACTGAGCTATCTCTCCAACCTGCCAATCTGCTTTCTTTCCTTTTTTTGTTTTGTTTTGTTTTGTTTTGTTTTTTTTGAAACAGGGTCTCACTTTGTAGCCCTGGCTAGCCTGAACTCACTATTCAGACCAGGTTGTCCTCAAACACAGAGATCCATCTGCTTCTACCTACGCAGTTCTGGTATTAAACATTCATACCACTACATCTGGTCTATTCTGTTTTGTTTAAATTTTTATGTCTTTATTTGTTTTTATTGTACACATTTTGACTTCATGTATATCTGTTTGCCATGTGTGTACGTGGTCCCAGCAGAGGTAGTAAGAGGGCATCAGATCCCAGAACAAGAGTTACAGACGGTTGTAAGCCACTCTGTGCACGCTGAGGATTGAACCCACGGCCTCTGCAATGTTGTTTTATTTTTTGAAATAGAGTTTCTTATAGCCTGGATTGATTTAACTTCACTATGTAGTCCAGGAAGCCATTGAACTGCTCATCCTCCTGCCTCTACGTCCCCAGCCCTGGAATTACAGACAGACACTGCCAAGCCTAGTTTATATGGTACTAGGGTTTGAAGCCAGGGTTTCATGTGTGGTAGGCAGGCTTTCTACTAATTGAGCTACATACCCAATCCAGTTTGTTTGTTTCTGAGTTTTTGACCCAGGCCATGTAGCCTCAAATTGGCTAGGAGGGAAGATGATCTTGAAATAAGGTCACCCCACCTCTACTTTCTGAGTGCTGGGATTACAGGCATAGGACACTATGCCTGGGTTTTTGCTTGTTTGTTTTTCTTACATAGGGTTTTAATATGAATCCCGGACTGGTCTCAAGTTTTTCGTTGTCTTGCCTCAGTAGCACAAGTAATGTGGGGCATCTTTAGGAACACCCACAGATGGAATAAAACTACCCTACCAGCTGGGTGGTGGTGGCAGCGATGGTGCCGCACACCTTTAATCCCAGCACTCAGGAGGCAGAGGCAGGTGGATCTCCATGAGTTTGAGGCCAGCCTGGTCTATAGAGTGAAGTTCCAGGACAGCCAAGGCTACACAGAAAAACCCTGGCGAAACAACAAAACAAACAAAACCAAACGACACTACCAATGGAGGAGGCAATGGGTGCCTCATGGTCTCTATCTCAGTGGGTGCTGGGTCTTGGGTTCTTGAGACTTCATTTACTCTCAACAAACAAGGTGCCTAAGGACTGATGTTAAGTGGCAATTGTGGCTTCTTCCCTGAGGGTGTGGGTTGCAGGAAGCAGGGAGGGAGAATTGGGGATGTGGGGGCTGCCAGGCAGGTTGGAGTAGGTTGCGCTTTCCCAAACCTGATGGAGTAAGGGCCGAGGGAGGGGTTGAATGGGCAGACACATTGGCTAAGAAGACAGCATTTCGCAGATGCTGAGGATGCCAGTTTTGTAGGGCATGATGTGTCTGTCCCCTGGTTCTGTGCACATGGTGACACAGTCCTGTCCATGTCCCTCAAAGCAACACATAGGGGTCGGTTGAAGGTCTCCAGAGGGACTCCAGAATGACAAGGACCTTGCGGCTCCAGCGTCCCAGAAGTAGATACACTCAGGTACCTTCTAGGCACCTGAGTCAAATGAAGCTGTTTCTCTGGCTGTTCAGCAGGCTGGGATGCTCTTCTCATAGACACTGAGTCTTGTTACCGATTCCCAGGACCCATCTTCAGTGACCCCCTGCCTCTATCCCACACTGCATCTTACCGTCCCTGAAGTCGCCCCAATGCCAGGACTGGCTCCTGCTTCCCCTACCCAAGCACATTCCTTCTACCTCCTCCAGAGAGTCTCACCATACTGCTCCAACAGGCCAGTTCGAGAGCTGCCAGGTAAAATACAGGCCACCCAGTCATGTAGGAATTCCAGATAAACAAACAGGCTTTGGGATGGGCAAGGTAGCACACGCCAGAAATTCAGAGGGTTGTGGTGAGTTTGTGGCCAGCCTGATCTACATAGCAAGACCTTGTCTCAAAGCCAGGCAAAATGAAGGAGTTTTGTTTGTTTGTTTTTAAGTATAAGTACACTTATACTGGGGGGGGGGCAGTTATTTATCTGAAATCCATTTTAACCTAAGCTGTTTTGTTTTATTTGCTTGTTCATTTGTCTTGTTGCTGAATCTACAACCTACTGTACCCCGTGAGAGCACAGACACACACTCACATATACCCAAGGAGCTTCTGGTTCGAGGATGGGCTGGTGCTGCCTCTGCCTGTATCTCCATCTAGCTGCTGGAGGAAGTGCAGGCTTCAGAACTTCACCTCCCTGTCTTGTGTGCACACAGGATCGTGTGCTATACTTTATGGTCCACCAGGGCTCCCAAGGGGGTGTGTCTGTCTGTTCCCATCCTCTCCCCCCTGACAAAATTCCCCAGACTTCTGAGCTCTCTTGGCTTCCCATCCACTTCCCACAAATACCTGTATCCAGGTATTGTGGGCAGTGATGGAAATTTCTCCAGGAGAGAAACCTACGCCTAGAGCTGCAAGACAGAGTGAACACCCATGTTCCAACTTGGAACATCTCAACCAACAGGACAGGTAGCCAGGTAGCCTTATGTCCCTGTCACCCAGTCTAATAATCCACCCACCACAAGGGCTCAGCAAGTGTCCTGTGGGATGAACTGGTGAGTAAAATGTATTTGACTTTGAACCTGGGCAGATGCCCTCTCATGCTTTCCTTTCCATATGCCACAATTATCAGTGTGGGACCAAAGTGTTAAAATGTCTGGAACAAGCCGGGCAGTGGTGGCACACGCCTTTAATCCCAGCACTTGGAGGCAGAGGCAGGCGGATCTCTGTGAGTTCAGGGCCTGCCTGCTCTACAAGAGCTAGCTCCAGGACAGGCTCCAAAGCTACAGAGAAACCCTGTCTCGAAAAATCAACCAACCAACCAACAAATAAAACCCCCCAATTTAAAATATGCGTGTTTTTAAAAAAATGTCTTCCCACACCCAAAACATCTGGAACACACTAGAGTGGAGAAGAGACCTAGAATAGAACCAGGAACCTATAGGACTTGGGAATCTAAACTGAGAGGGATCCTAGGGAAGAAGAGATTGTCTCCAAAGCATACCTTTGAAGGCTGGACTCAGAGGCTGTCTCTAGTCAGCCCAAAAATTAGACTAGAAAGCCCCTTCCCACTGGAGATATGTGCAGCTTTGGAACAATTACCTGGAGCCTCATGGGGCTGGGGATGTCACTTCAGTCAGTGTAGGCTGAGGTCACTCTGGGCAGGACCACTATTTATATATACATGGCAATATATACATAGCTGGGGGCTGCACCAGCTTTTAGCTGCCACCATGGCACAGGGACAGTGACCAACCTATCGGTTAGGCCAGAGATCCCTTAGTTAGCCCTGGTTCATCCATTTCTAGCCCACAGCAAGACAGGCCCAGCCACCAACTTCTTCATTCATGCATTCTGGGCTTATCAACCCATCCATGGCCACAGCACCCAGACAGGTCAGGCAGTCCAGAGCCAGCGTGTACAAGGCTACAAGGCCACATCTTGCTGGTCCCCAATGGATGATGATACTCATGAGCATCTCGGAACGACCTTGGGTTGTTAGCGGTAGGACCAGCTGGTGAAGGTATCTTTACCTCTAGCCTAGCAGCTTGCTCAGTGTTCTGAAATATTCAAAACCTCTGGCTGCTAATCCATTGAGTTTCACTTCCAAGAAGCTGTGTGGCCTCCTGAAACTCTGGAATACCCAAAGCAGGAGCAGGGCTGAACCAAAACACTCAGCAGGAGCCTTCAACCTTCAGTGCCAACCTTGCCCTATCCATCCAGAGTAGGATTCAAGCTCAGGAAGACAGATACCTTGGCTCTGATGTGATCAGCCCTCTCAGTGACTCAGTTTCCTCACCTATAGAATCTAAGGATATCACCTCTTCAATAAAGAACCCTGACAATATATGTTGACAGGAAAAGAATGAAGAAAGTCATGTGCCCAGGCATTAAGGTTTCTGCCATTTTACTCAGTCCCTCCCACCCCCAGTCTTACAGGCCATACACAGTGGACTGGGCATCAGGGTTCAGGGCTCACCTAGGACCCCCAGCTCCTTGTTATGGACACAGGCCACTCCTCCAGGGAGTGGGACACCATAGCACCTAAGGAATCCTCCCTTTGGAGGATCAGCAATGCAGAGAGCCAGAGCTGGGCAGTCCTGTTCCCTACTGTTCATCTCCTCTCCACCCTCCTGGTCACTACAGACAGAAGGGACAGTTGTGCATACACCTGCCATTCATCTCCAAAGCAAGCCTGACCTGTGGGTACATGGTACACAAACATGACAGCATCCCAGCCATAGGCAAAAGACATGTAAACCTCACTTCCCACCCCATTTGTGGCCCTAAGGTCATGTTTACCTCCCTTGCTAGGACTCTGAAGCCTAAATTACTCTTCAGTTTCATTATTCACAGAGAAACCCACCAGCTCCACCACCGTGTGCAACAAAGAGACCACCTCTGCTGCCCAGGGGTCTGTTTTCTCAAACCCACTACCTTCCGGGCACCATCTCTGCTTCCTTTGCCTCCTAGGAACTTCCAAGGCCTCTGTCTCTCTCCCCATCTCTCCTTGCAGCTGTCTGTAACCATCTGTCTTCCATCAGTCCATCCTTTTGTGTGCCCGCCCATCTGCTCATCCCTAGACACTAAACAGGCGATTCATTCTGTGTTCTCAGTCCTGAGCCTGGAGGGTGGTGCCTGGTGTGGGTGCACATAGGGACTGGAGTCACGTCTACCTGGTGGGAGCGATGGTCCCAGTCTTTACCTCGTAAGGCAAGAGGGGAAAGGGGTTGGAGCGGAATTTCTGGGAGAGGGGAATGTGTGTGGGTCAGTCCTGAGAGGCAGGTTGCACCTGGAAGTTATACTCAGTTCTCAGCCCTTCAGAGACTCAGTAGCTAATGCTCTCAAGAACTCAGTACAGCGAGATCGCTCAGCAGATAGAGGCACCTGCCAACAAGCCTCATTTTGATCCCTAGGACCACACGGTCAAAGGAGAGAACTGACTCCAAAGAGCTGTCCTCTGACCCTCCACATGCATGTCCTGACAGGACTCAGTCCTCAACATACCTAGGAACTTGGTAGTCACTATTCCCAATGACTAAGTCTTCAGCGCTTCCACTTTGTGGAGTATAAAGGGCAAGGACAAAGCCACCAGGTGAGGGTAGTAGCTTACAGAAGCCAGATCATGGAAGGTTTCATGGACTTCAACAAAAACAATGGAGAGCCATGGAAGAAATTTACACAGTGGAGAGCAGGCTCAGCTCCAAGCAGGAGCTGGAACCACCAGGTCCCCTAAGAACCAACCAGGAGCTAGGACCACCAAGTCCTCTGAGGACCGACCAGGAGTTGGAACAACCAGGTCTTCTGAGGACCAACCAGGAGCTGGAACCACCAGGACCCGTAAGAACCAATCAGGAGCTGGGACAACCAGGTCCTGTGAGGACCAACCAAAATCTGGGACCACCAGGTCCTCTGAGGGCAGAAGGGCTCATACTCTCTCTTTACATCACCAACCAGCTTGGAAAAGAGGCTGGCAAGGGGGTACTAGGGCCAGGCTAAGGGGTGTCTATGTGCTGCTGGCTTGAGAAGGCATCTCCCAGAGCTGGGTTCTGGGAGGCCCAGCGAGAGGACTGAGTAAAAGCACAGGGAGCAGCCACCCACACAGCCCGCTCCGGTAGGCCTGGTGCCTGAGTGGGAAACTGGTTTCACTCTCTACCTCGCCCTGCCCTCCTCCCTGGGGAGACCAGTGCTGGCCTCTGCCACGGGTGGCCTTTTCGGTCGACAAGAGGAGAAATGATGTTTTCCAAAAAGCACCCCCCCAACACACACACACACACACACACACACGCACGCACGCACGCACACACATGCATATACATGCATACACACACACACACACACATGCATGCATGTACGCACATACACACACAGATCTCACCTTCTGCTCTAAACTAGGCTTCTAGTTCGGCACTAGAGCTGGCCCCTGCTTGGAGCAGGACCCAGAGAGTGTGGCGCACAGCTGCCTAGGCCAGTCTATCATAGTGCTCATTGCCCCTCCCTCTCGGTGCAAGCCGTAGGTCTGGGGGTTCCACCACAGCATCTCTGTCCTCACCATGCACAGACAACGCTGGCAGGAAAACCCTGAGTCACATGCTCACAAAAACCTTAAGCCCAACCCTGGAGTCTCCAGAATTCCAAGATAGGGCTACAAAGCTACTTCATTCTCCCATAGGTCCGGATCCAACTCTTGCCACTTTCTCCCTGGATGGCAGGTTGTTGGGAACTGCCTGCCACCTTCCAAGGAAGGGTGGTACCTGAAAGGGCTGAAGGCATGTCCCTTTAGAACCCAGGCTCACCTGCATGTTGGTGGCTGGTCCCTGAGTCAACGTGGGGCTCTGGATGCTGGTGCTGGCAGGTATGAGAGTGGCTGCCAGGCTGCCTGCTGTTACCTGACTTCCGTGTGTGATTTGCCCCGCCCTCTCTTCTGATAGCTTGCCCTAGTGTGCGGAGGAGGAGCCAGCCGCAGACCCGCCAAGAAAATCCCTTCCAGTGTCCAGCCACCCCCAAACCTTCCTTTCAGGGGTGAGGATGAGGCAAGAGGGCAGAAGAGTACTGGCGTTCTCTCCTGGGTTCCCTATCATCCTTCCTGCAGGGATGCATTGACTGTAAGGTGGGGTCCGTGACACCCGCCCCCTTCCAGAGGGGTAACGTAGATGACTTAACAGACAGGTACTCAGTAGCACCTCTCCCCAAGACACCTGCAGAGTTCATTTCTGACTCTTCAAATGTACTGTTGACTCCTGAGGGAGAAAAGGGGTGAGGGGGTGGCAAGATAGATCCCAAAAGGAACTCTCTTCTCACCCCTGGGCTTCTGTGGTGACCTGAAACCTTGAAGGCTTGGGGTGGCCCTGAGATCATGAGCCCTGCTGTGAAGCCTAGCAGCTGGAGAAAGCTACAGGCAGCTTCAGAGTAACCAACCAGCGCGAGCAGCCCGAGGACACTGAAGCTGGCAGCCGGCGGATGGCCTCCACCAGGGAGGGGACAGAGGACACTGAGCTGTAAATGCCATTACACACATGACACCTGCCACATCTGAAAACCAATAAGAAGTCGAGGAAACAGGAAGGAGGCTGATAGTCAGGACAGGATCTCTGAAGGTCTCACAGGGTGGCTGGCAGCCAACAAGCACCCAATGTCACCTGCTCAACACCGTGTCAACATGTATTAGTCTCCTGCAGTTCAGACGTTGAGCTGATGGATACTTGCTCAGGGTTCTCGGAAGAGTGACACGCTCCTACTTCTGCGTAGTTGCAGTAGCAGGCTCCAGGACTGACCTGTGAGTGGTCAAAGAGAAAAAAAAACAGAAACCAAAGAAGGGGAAAGGAGAGGGAGAGAGCAAACTGTGTCACACTGTCTTTGTTACTGTCCTGTTGTTTTGAAGAGACTCCATGACCAAGGCAATTCTTACAAAAGAAAACTGGAAGCCTGGCGGTAGGGGTGCATGCCTTTAATCCCAGCACTTGGGAGGCAGAGGCAGGCAGATCTCTGTGAGTTTGAGGCCAGCCTGGTCTATAAGAGCTTGTTCCAAGACAGCCAGGGCTACACAGAGAACCCCTGTCTCAAACAAACAAAAAAGAAAGAAAGAAAGGAAGGAAGGAAGGAAGGAAGGAAGGAAGGAAGGAAGGAAGGAAGGGAAAAAGACAGAGAGAGAGAGAGAGAGAGAGAGAGAGAGAGAGAGAGAGAGAGAGCGAGCAAGCTGGGGGCTTGCTTTCAGAGGTTTAGTCCATTTTTATCATGGCACAGAGCACTGCCACGATGTACTATTGCTACAGTAGCTGAGAACTACATCTCGATCCCAAAGCAGAAAGAGAGAGAGAGAGAGAGAACCCCCAGAGACACACTTCCTTCTCCAAGGCCACACTTAATCTTGCTAATCCTATCAAATAGCTCCAATCCCTGGTGGTTAAGCATTCAAATATATGAGCCTTTCCTATTCAAACACCACACGGTGTAAGGAATGAAGCCAATCCAGAAGGATATACTAGTAACGAATGGAACTGGTAGTGGCTTACACACATTTCCTAAAAAGGAAGTCCGGAGTTGGATAATGAGGACTAATATGTTAACTCCATAATTTTCAAGGGCCCAGGTTTTCTTTACTAGGTTTTGCCACCTTAAACACTTGGTCTTTATTTCCTTTGTTAGATTATTTTAAAAGGCAGCTGTTGAGAGAGGTTTTATTCATAGCAAGGAGGCATCATGTCACCCACATGTGTGGATGGCCAAAATGCCTACCGAGGGAAATGGGGGGTGGCCCCTTACGGGGGTGGAAATTACTTCTGTAGTCTGCAAGGGATGCTGGGATGTATAGTCCTTCAGCAGGAAACTGTCATTCCTCACTAAGAAGGCTGCTTAATCGTCTAGTATTGCATCCACACTCAACCAAAACAAAAAGAGAAGAATGGAGGGTACCCCATCCCTCCCATGTCTGGTCCCATAACTATACAAAGGCAAAGAAGCCTGGAGAATGTGCTCTGTTTTCCTAAGGAAGAAAGTACCGAGCAGCCTCAACCTAGAGACAGTCTCAAACAACCAGGAAGAGAATCTGCAAGGGTTGAATCCAAACTAAGACCCATACATACTACAGCTGTTTGTCTCTCTGCCAGGTCCCGCTTGAACCTGCCCAGGACACCGGCTCCCCACCCCCATCCTCTCTATTTCTTCCTTCTTTCATTGTTTGAGGTGAAGTCTCACTAAAATTTACTATAGTGTCCATACTGGCCTGGAACTTGCAGTGTTCCTCCTCCTGCATTAGCTTCCAAAACTCTGGGATTTCCAATATGTACCACCAACCAGGCAAGAGCCTAAGATTTAGTGGGTGAAACAAACTATGTTTACTCAGATTGTTCCTGTTATTGAACATCTAGACGATTTGCAATCTTGGATACAAAAGACATCTCTCTCTCTCTCTCTCTCTCTCTCTCTCTCTCTATATATATATATATATATATATATATACATATATATATATATATACATATATATATATAATTTTGACTTTTTCCTCTCAGAACAGTTATAGGAAGCAAGGCTAACATGCATCATCAGAAACAGTTCTGAGGCTGTTGATTAGTCTTAGGGATCAATGTCTAAAAAAGACTGGCTCAACTTCTCTCCAGATCAGAGTGCTATGAACGGCCCTGGCCGTACTCACTTCCCTGACTGAGGGCATTTCCATGAGACAGGTAAGGCTAAAGATCCTGTCTCTAAAAAATAAATAAGCAAAATTCTGCTTTAGGACTGGCGTTTAAGTCAACAGCAGATGTGTGCATAACAAACTAGAGGTCAGGAGGTCAGGGCTCCATCCCACTCACTACAAAAAGGAAAAAGAATACCGTCCATGAGAATATAGAAAAATGCTTTTAATGAAAAGCATGAAATTTCAACTAAGTTGAGAAATATGAAAATGCTGGAAAAGCAGGTCACAAGTTGATATTTGTCTGTATATGCATAATTCATTGATTCTTCCTTGTTTGTTTCTTTTACGTTTTTCTACCACACACACACACATCTATTTGATGCTTACTATTAAATCACTTTATTAGCATATCATGATCTAGTATTACAAATCTTCTTTTCCCAGACTTGATGCCTTCTTTGGCCTCTGTTCGGGTGCAGCTGAGGTGGAAAGAACCAGTCGTGGATGAGGCCCTGCTGTGGTGTGTGGCCCAGCCTCCTTGGCTGTTGGTTGTGCTGCCCTGCCTTTCTAGGTAGAGAACTTTGGCCCAGGCCACATGAGGCTCCAGCTCTTCTCTTTCGACTCCTTCCTCGTTTCTCCAGCTACAAATCTTGGTGCCCTCCAAGGGCCAAAGTACAAGAGGCACCTGCTGCTAACCAGGATCCAGTTGCCTCTCTGTGGATCAGGAGGACAAGGCCAGCAGGGCTCCAGAGGGTGTAAGCACTGTCTGCCTTCCCCCTTGACCTCGGAACCTCCAGCCCTTCAGGCACATGCCTCTCAATCCTGATGATTTGGATGTAAATATATTCTGATTTTCTGACCAAGCCTCTGAGTGGAACTGGGTGCCTCCAAGACCCTGCTTCCCGTCCTCGTCCTCTCTCTGGGTGGCTTCCCAACCTTGTTCCATGCAAGGGGAGACCTAACCATCTCTCAGGTCGCTTGTCTGTCAGGTCTATTCTTTCTGAAGCAGGCCTTGTGTTTTTTCCAGACAGGGTGAGGCCTTCCTACAGGGACTCCTTGGTTGCTCTGCTTTGCTCCTTAAAAACAAAAAACCTCTCAGGTGGCAGGTGTGCTGGGAATGTTTTCTGTAATCCATTCAGCTTTATAGATTTACCACACCAATTGAAACCAGCCAGTGTTCCCCTACACAGGCTTTCTCTTCTTTCCTTGTAAGGGTATTTTTAGAGAACATTTCCGCCAGTGTTGTACTATTTCCCACCATCATTGTGACTCCCTGGGCCTAAGGAAACCTTGCCCTCTGATGGCAGGCCAGATCACGCCCATGTGAGCTTTGGCGCCCTCCTTCCCAGGGTAAGGCCGGAACTGGCCATTTCCTTTAAGCCCTGCCTGGCTCCAGAGCCTTGGGTCTCTGACATGAGGCTTCAAAGCTGAGAAAAGGCCACTCTGTGTCCCAATCCCTAGGGACTGCAGGTATTCGCAGCCTGCAGACAAGATGGAGGTGAGACACCGGTGCGAACCTACAAGCAGAGGGAGCTGCAGAATCCTGGAGTTCAGGTAGAAGCTTCGTGATTCTGTAAAGTGTTGGGAGAGGAGGTCGCTAAAATTCCCGCGGTTCAGCATCTGTTTCTAAACAAGGTGCAAAGATAAAACTCAAGAGTTGTGAAGACCTGTAAAGCGTTGGAAACTTGGGAGAATTTTTCCCATAACAGGTCGCCAAACAAGCGCAGTAATTCCTAACATTTGCACGTGGTCCGACAAAAAGTGGACGCGCCCTCGCAAACCACGCCCTTTCCGGGACTTGCACTATCCAACGCCGACGAGCAGCGGGGCCCGGCCCCTGAGCAGTTCGGCTCCGCCCTCGAACCGCTCGCCCACCAGCCTCTCAGAGCCTGGCCACGCCCTTCGTCCCGCCCCCTGATTCCTCAGCCCCGCCTACAGGCCGTCACGTCAGCCCACCCGAAACCCCTCCTCTTGACCCTGGGCCGGTCCCAAACTGCCCACCCAGAGAACTGAGGCCCGCCCCAGACGACGCCCCCGAGCCGGCTAGCCCTTGGCTCCGACCCTCGCCGAACAGGCTGGTTGATTCTGTCTGTTTTTCCTCTCGGGAAAGGTGCAGCACTCCAGCGATGCCTCGGAGGAAGGATCCTGGTCTCTGCTCAGGAGAAACACCCACACTAGGAAAGCTATCTCCCTTCAAGGGAACTCGGAAGGGAGTTACAAGAAGTGGGCGCTGGAGACTGGCTCGGAAGGAGCTGTCTTTGGGCAGGGTTGCCAACCAGTGCTGGACTCTTACCTCGCGTGGCATGACATCACCTCCTCGTCAAGTTGTTACAGGCCATTGTCTCAGCCCCAGACAATACAGTCTTGGCGCCGCCTACCCCATGACGCTCTCAGCTGCTTCAAGGCCCATAACAGGATGGAAACTGAGGCACAGCCCTGCCCTCCTTTGTAGCCCCGTATTGTCTACTCGCACACCCAACGGTGTGTGCACCCAACACAGGGCCGACACCAGACTAGAGCAGAGGGCAGCAGGGGGCCCAGAGGCAAGCGCTCAACCTAACAGAAGACTCACACATCTGCGCATCGAGCAAGGGTCAGTATTCAGGTGTTGAGTATTTTAACAAACTGTTGAAGTTGTAAACATTGAAGCAGGCTGGAAAGACAGGAAAAAAAGTAAGGAGGCATGGAAAGGAAAAGGAACCCCTCCCTAGCAGAAAGTCAAGAATTCCAGCACAACTGACTTTTGTTGTGAAGACTGGCTGCATAGAAGCAATATACTTCTTTGATACAGAAGTAATTTCAAATAACAATGTTAAAATAACAATGACCCATGCTTACGTCCTGAGTGTATATGACCTTAGAATATGGGCTTACTTCTTTCCCACATTCGAACCTGAAAATTTCTGAGTTTCAAAGACAAGGGTTTACAATAAAAGCTCCATGCAGCTGGGCAAGAGGTTGCAAGCCTTTAATCCCATCACTCAGGAGGCAGAGGTAGACGAATATCTGAGTTCAAGGCCAGCCTGGTCCACAAAGAGAGTTTCAGGACAACCAGAGCTGTTAAGCAGAGAAACTCTGTCTTCAAAACCAAAACAAACAAAAACTTCCATGCAACCCTTGAGACCTAGCCTAGTGTTTTACCTTATCAGCTGCAATACTGTCCTGTCCAGTGCACATCAGGAACTGCTTTATGACCACATTTAAATCCCTTAGCAACCCTTTGAGATGGAACTTCAGATGACACCAGCATCTTGCATGGCTACTGTAAAGATACTTAAGGGGGACTGTCTGGAGAAACCCACATTCTCACTTGGGCGGGTACTTTTCTATTCCCTATAAGCCTGTTACCCACCCCCAATCATGTGTAAGTCTGTGTTAAATTCTCTTCTTAATTAATTCCAAATTTACTTCATACTGACTCATCCTGAAATTTCCTAGGGTGTAGTAAGAAGTCCAGTTTCGAAAGCCTCGGCATGGAGCTGTGTCTTCAGCCCATGAGCCAACTACTGCTGACAGAATCCAAATGGAATCACTGTCAAAACCCTACTCAAATGAGGCTGAGGATGATGATACCAGCCTCTAATCTCAACACTTGGAAGCCTGTGGCATTGGGATTGCTCGTCAGCCTGGAGTACATGGTGAGTTGCAAGCCAGTTAGGGGTACCTAGGGAGACCCTGTCACAAGAGAAACCTGCCTAGGGCCGGGGAGATGGCTCAGAAGGTAAAAGTGCTAGCTGCACAAACCCGAGGACCCTAATTTGATACCTGGAACCATGTAAGAGGCTGCATTCTGTGGCATGTGGCTGTAATCCTAGTGCTCCTGTGGCTGAGATGCTAGGCAGACAGGAGGAGCCAGCTAGCCTATAGTAGACCACCTCTCTACTTGAAGTCTCTCGACAAGGGCACCTTAGCCTTGATTGTGCTCTAAGGAGCAAACAGTCAGAGACAGGAAGTGCACTCAATTTTTATTCTAATACAGGTGGTGATAAAGAACCAGCCTGCCTCCATCTTAGGCTTAAAAGCCATCTTTTTCTTTCTTCCTTTTTTCTTTTTAAGGCTTATTTATTTATTATGTATAGTGTTCTGCCTGCATGTATCCTTGCAAGCCAGAAGGAAGGTACCAGATTCCATTGGAGATGTTTGTGAGCCACCATGTGGTTGCTGGGAATTGAAATCAGAACCTCTGGAAGAACAGTCAGTGCTCTTAACCTCTGAGCCACTTCTCCAACCCTAAAAGCCATCTTATAATAAAGACAAACTAGGTTCATTCCTGTTTATGATTAAACCTGTTTCTCAAGGATTGAACTGTGCCCTACTTGTCACCTTGACTACACATGGTTCTGTGCTGCCTGTTCAAGGAATGGCAATCCTGTCTTTGTTTCAAAAAGTTGTTTATAACCATCTTGCAATCCTACTTTTGTTTCAAAAGGTTATCTGACCCCCTATGACCACCTTGTTATGCCCACCTGTTGTTTTGACTTTCTTGTTATGCCCACCATGCAACCACATCCTTGTTTAAGGAGGTCACTAGGACTAACTGGCTATGTTTGTGTTCTGCTCCTGTAACCCCTGTTTTGCCTGCCAAATCCCCCATTCGGGAAACCCCCTACCCTTGAGCTATAAAAGCCTTATCTTCCTCACATCCAGTGGTGACCTCTTGAATCTCACCTTAAGGGTTGACAGCCCCTATTCAGAAATAAAACGTTTGCTTTAACTAATTGCTTGTTTTAATCAATTTGGCCATGATAATTTGAGTCAGTGGTCTTTTTCCTCTTATCGTTGGCCTTAACATTGTCTGGGGTCTGACCTCTGTCTTTCAAGACTGGCTGATTTTAAAGGCATCTGCCGCAAAAGAAATGAAGGAAAGGAGAAAGGAGTCACTGCTCCAGACACCAGTTTCTGGAGGCGTGAAGCCTGCGAGGAAAGGAAGGCTTTACTGGGGGGGGGGGGGGCGGCGGCTCGGGCGGCGAGGGCGGCTGGAGGGGGGTGGTTAAGATAGTTGCATAAATGTTTTATAAGGTGGGGGAGATGAAATAACTTGGATTTCTTGTTTTAAACACAGATTTATAGTACCTGATAGAAAAAAAACTCATCTTTAATATTTTGTACAGATGTAAGGCAAGAACCAGCTCCCAAATCTTGACCCTCTGGTTTCCACATGCACAACCATACTCTTGCACGAACATCCACACATACAATGTTTTTTAAACAGTTTCAGCCGTGGTTTTATTTGCTCATCTAGCATCATAAATAAGTGACTTCAGATTTCACACAGTTGCTTTTCCTTAAAAGTCAAATGCTTTATGCTTTTTCTGAAGTTGCCATTTGGCACTTTCCCCCCCAGGGATTGCTGCGGCATTTTCTAAATACATTGGTGGGGACCACGGTTAAACAGGCTACTACAAAGGAGGGCAATCTCTGGTACACCCTTAAGATGCTGATAGTACTATCAGTTGTGGGTTTGTTGGAGGACAGTGGTGGACAAAGAATACATCCCTCAGGTTTTACCCAATGGTGAAAAAGGGTGTTAGGTGAAAAGAGGTGGGGAATGAATGGTTTAAGGACACTAAAGACAGCCCAAGATAATTTGGATCAGGATCTGAAACATTGTAATTCTCCTCCATCATAAAGCTCTACAGGTGCAGCCTTATTTGTTTGTTTGTTTTGTTTTGTTTTTGTTTTCAAATGCAGAGTCTTACAGAAGCATGTGCTGGGTCTTCTTGTTCTCACAAGAAAATATTTCATCCTAGAAACTTGTCTCCGAGTTTCTTTTCCCACATGTAACTTTCTTCTTTTCTTTTGAGACAAAGTCTCACTTTGTAGCCTGGCCTCTGGCTGTCCTGCGTCTGCCTCTTGAGTGCTGAGAGTAAAGGTGTATGCCACCATGCCTAGCTATAACTTTATTTTCTTGAAACCTAGACATTGTCCGTTTGAGAAGAAATTCACTGTGTCCACAGTGCTCTTGCCTTTAAATTCTGAAGTAGGTAGTACATTCATAACATTTCTTAAATTTCTTTTCCCAATTTACAATCTTTATTCTCCCCAACTAAGTGTAATTTTTTTGTCATTGTAAAAAAGATTATATGCTAGGTTTTGAGTTTTGTTTTAATTCTTAGTTAAAATAATTTTAAAAAAATCTGGGGGAAACATGAACTTCTGAGAATGACATCAAATGCCTACAGTGGCCCTTTCTTTTCAGCTCCAAGAAAAGAAAGAAAGAAAAAGATTAGTAGAATAAAGGGACTGTGCCTCTGCCTTCCTTTGAGATAACCGGGAATTTTGTTTGTTTGCTTGCTTATGTGTTCTTGTTTTTAAGACAGGGTCTCCTGAGCTCAGTCTGGCACCAATCTGGCGATGGAGCTGAGAGGCACCTTCTGTGTCTGTTCTGCCAGTTAGAGAATTAAAAGACGCAAGAAGCTGAAGAGGAAATCTGGGGTACAGTACAGAAAATCAGCTGGTAAAGAAAGGTTTTCCTTAGGGTGAGGAAGCACATAGGGCACATAGAGAAAGACCCTCTGCAGACTCAGGGGGTACTCAAGAGTCCCAAATACGGTCTTTCTTTGAAGGCTGGATGGTTCTTTGTTTGAGACAGGATCTCACTATATAGCCCAGGTAGGCCTGGAACTCACTATATAAATCATGCTGGCCTCCAAACTCACAGAGACCTGCCTGTCTCTGGATTCTAGGATTAAAGGTTTGGACCATTGTGGCCATATCAGCAATTTAGGCGTAAGATTTTAAGGATCTTTAAGAGGGTCTCCCTCCTGCCAGGGCCTTTAATCCCAGCATTCAGGAGACAGAGGCAGGTGGACCTCTGTGAGTTCAAGGCCAGCCTGGTCTACAAGAGCTAGTTCCAGGAGAGGCTCTAAAACTACAGCGAAACCCTGTCTCGGAAAACCACAAAGAGAGAGAGAGAGAGAGAGAGAGAGAGAGAGAGAGAGATCTTTGGGTCACAGCGTTTGTGGTGTTGATTACCTGGGAGCGAATTAAAAATGGGTGATGTTGAGAAAGACAAGATTTTTGTTCAGAACTGAGTCCAGTACCACACTGTGGAAAAGGGAGGCAAGCATAAGACTGGACCAAATCTCCATGGTGTGGACAGGTCAGGCGGCTGGATTCTCGTACACAGATGCCAACAAGAACAAAGGCATCACCTGGGGAGAGAATGCCCTGATGGAATGTTTGGAGAATCCCAAAAAGTACATCCCTGGAACAAAAATGATCTTCTCTGAAATTAAGAAGAAGGGAGAGAGGACAGACCTAATAGCTTAGTTAAAAAGGCTGCTACTCATTACATTTATTACAAAACAAATGCCTCATGACTTTTAATGTGTACCATAATTTAATTCATACTCCAAAATTCAGATCATGAATGGCTAACAATGTTTTGTTGGACAGTACTGATTTAAGTAAAACTGACTTGGAGAAAAGTGGATATGGTCTTTTTTAAAAGTAACAATTCCAGTTGCATAAACACTATCACTGCTCTCCCTTTCTCAAGATAAGATTGGACTTAATTATTAAAGTTCTGCTTTCCACAAAGATGGGGGTGTCACCTCGAGCCTATTGAATGATTTTATAGTTAAATTTATATAATTGGACATATGAATTATGTTTAAACACTGGGGAAATTCTGTCACCATCTTAGAAATGAGAAGACTTGTCTATGGTAAAGTTTGTACTCCCTGCTGTTACTGGCAACGGCTAAAGGTCAGGAAGCAATGCTCTATTCTTAACTCAATGGTGTTATTTTAATTAGAATTCCCTAAGTCAAAGGATGCTGCCTTTTACCATTGAAAGGCACTTACTGTGGTCTATGTAGAATATATCAAATAAAGAGTATTTAGCACAGGCTATAGTTGATCTATTAAGTTTAAAAAATGCTTTTAGAAACCAGCAACTTATACCTTACTTTTAATTCTTTATTATCTAAGACTAAATTGTAATTCAGAATTGTCCTTAAACATCCTTTCAGAAGCAAAACAAAACTGAAACTTCTATACATGTGTGATTGCTGGTGGCATTCTTTGCCAACTTTTTATGGAAGGATTAAAATAAAGGAGATGTTTGCAGCAGTAAAAAGGTAATTTAAAAAAAAAGAGCTGGGGCTGGAGAGATGGCTCAGTAGTTAAGAGCATTGCCTGCTCTTCCAAAGGTCCTGAGTTCAATTCCCGGCAACCACGTGGTGGCTCACAACCATCTGTAATGAGGTTTGGTGCCCTCTTCTGGCCTGAAGACATACACACAGACAGAATATTGTCATAATAAATAAATAAATATTTAAAAAAATAAAATAAAAAAAAGAGCTGTCCCTCCTCTAATTTATGCTTTGTCAGTTTGAATGATAACAGGGAGTTTGACAGGCCCACAATAAGACTACAACTTTTGGGCAAATAAGTCCTTATCTGGCTTTGAACTTGTGATGAGGCCGCTCTACAGACCGGGGTGCCTACTATCAGAGAAAAAGCCTCCACGGCCTGTATTTTAAACTGCTAGACTTTTATTTTAGTTGAGGAGGGTGAAGAAGAAACCAGAAGTCTGCCATCTTTTTTATTTGTCTTTGTTTTGCTTGTTTGTTGGTTGGTTTTTGGGTTTGTTTGTTTGTTTTTGAGACAGTGTTTCTCTATGTAGTCTTGACTGTCTGAAACTCACAGAGATCTACCTGCCTCTGGATTATTGGGATTAAAGGCGTGAGCCATCACTGCCCCGCTGAAATTTGCAACCTTTAATATTTATTCGTAGGTTCTCTTCCTACCTGTCAGAGGCTCCTAGTCCCATGGAAGGATGACCATGAACTTCCTGATCTACTCACCTCCACCTCAAAGTGCTAGGATTTCAGGTCCATGGCATCACATACCAACACAACTCATAAAATTGAAAAAGACCCCACACCCTCATACAAGTTTAGGTAAGCCATTCTCTACCCTATGCAGAAATGTATTTTCAGCAACTCTCCGTACTCTTTTTTTTTAAATATTTATTTATTTATTATGTATACAATATTCTTTCTGTGTGTATGTCTGCAGACCAGAAGAAGGCACCAGACCTCATTACAGATGGTTGTGAGCCACCACGTGGTTGCTGGGAATTGAACTCAGGACCTTTGGAAGAGCAGGCAATGCTCTTAACCTCTGAGCCATCTCTCCAGCCCCGAAAACATAAGTTTTAAATAGCAGCATATTTATATTAGAATAACTGT